TCCTAGGTTTAATATGCCTTCCAGGTGGACTGTTTCAAGAGATTGCTTTGATTGGTATTTTGAGGAAAAGGAAAAACTCAAGATGCTTTTGAATAGCTCTACAGGTACTAGGAGGGTCAGTTTGACTACAGACACTTGGACTTCACTACAGAGAACTAATTATATGTGTCTTACGGCTCATTTTATTGATGATGATTGGAAGTTACAAAAGAGAATCATTAACTTTCGCTCAATCTTCAGTCATAAGGGTAAAGACATTGCAGAGTCTATTCAGACATGTTTGGTTAGCCCGGCTGCACATCCAAAGTTTGGATATTTTACGGGTCGGATAAGCCCGGCTGCCAGTAGGCGCGTCACCTCCTCTTCTATCGCCTTTAGCTTATCGCCCGTGAAGGACCTCCGCCCCTGTTGCCTTGGCTCTGCGTTGGCGGGCACTGCAAGGCTATGTTGGGCTACCTCCCTGGGCACTCCTAGCATGTCTTCCGTGCACCACGCGAACAGTTCCTTGTACTCCTTCAGCAGTGCCACGAGCGGCTCGATTGCGTCACTGCTGACATGAGTGGAAATGCGTATCTTCCTGGTCGGCTCAGCTGGATCTAGCGCGACCTCAAAATCGGAATCCATCGACTCCGGTCGGGGTTCTTCCGCCCTTGTGTCGACGATGTTGGTTTGTCGAGTCACGACGCGATCTTCCCATGTCGTTCCCCGGGCTTCTCCCACTCCTCTCTGTGTTGGGAACTTGAGTTTCTGGTGGCAGGTTGATGGGAGAGCCAGGAACTTCGCAAGGAATGGCCGGCCTAGAATGCCGTTGTGCGCCGATTCGCAATCGACAATCGTGAATTCTACCTGTTTTGAGGCGCGAGGCTCCTGGTCGCCGACCACCACAGGGAGGGTGACCACTCCAATGACCGGGACTTTAGTCCCGGAGAAGCCCACTAGGTTGCCATGCGCGCGCCTGATTAGGCGCCGGTCGATGTCCATTTTGTCAATGGTACTCTGGAAGAGGATGTCAGCCGCGCTACCTCCGTCTACCAGGAGGCGGTGGGTCTTGCAGGCGGAGATTAGCGCGGTGATAATGAGCGGCTCCTGTGATGGGGTTCCTTGTGGGAATTCCGCGTCGTCGAAGCTCAGGTTGAACCTTGCCGGCGCGTCGGTGGTTGCGCACTCCATCGCGCGCTCCCGTTTGGTTTTCTTCTGGGGGCGGTCTCCTTCGACCGTCACCACCCCAATTTCCTTGCGCACTACATATGCGCCCGTGTCATCGTTATATTCAGCTTGGGGCGGTGGCGGCGGCGGGTGCTGTGGGTGCTCAACTTGTTCTTTTTTCACGTGAACAAACTCGGTCAGCAGCCCTCGCTGTATGAGGCCCTCTATTTCGTACCTCAGGTCTCGGCACTCTTCTGTTCGGTGCCCCGTCGCTCTGTGGAATTCACAATGCCTATGTGGATCGCGCATGTAGGGTTGGGATTTCAACGGGGCAGGCCAGTTGATCTTGTAACCCTTCTCGCGAAGGACATGGAACACATTCCTCATTGAGTCATTAAGGGGAGTGTAGGCGTTATGCGCGCGCCTGTCCGGCGATCGGCCGCGTTGCGCCTGCTCTGGTGGGGGAGGAGGGGCACGCTTCGGGCCACTGTGCATCTGTAGCAAGTGGTCTCGTGGGATCACGGCTGGAGGCTGACGACGCGCCTGTTCTTCTCGTGGCATTTTCGCCGGCTCAAAGCGCCTGACGGACCCTGCCCCCAAGGTTTCTTCCAACGTGATCGCCTTTTCGATCTTCATCTCCAACTCTGTCGATAGCGTGACGGGTCTCTTGGCCAACGCCCGCTTGAGCTCCATATTGTTGGTGGCCTCCATGAGGTGATGGGCGGCTGTTTCGGGGGTGAGGTCGCGGACGGCCATTGCTATCCTGGACCATCTGGCATAGAAAGTTCTCAGGTTTTCTCCATCCTTTTGCCTGATATCTATCAGGGCCTTGAGGTGAAGCGGGCGCCGTTTCTGGGACGCAAACTTCGTTGTGAACAGGAGTATGAACTCCTCGAATGAGTGGATGATTCCATTTGGGAGGCGGTTGTACCAGTCGAGGCATATGCCGGTGAATGTCGACGGGAAGGTTCTGCATAGCGCGGCGTTGGAGTTGGTCTGGAGTTGCATACGCAGGCAAAAAGTGCTTACATGGTCTTCCGGGTCGGTCGTGCCGTTGTATGTCGGGAGGGCGGGCGTCGCTCCTGTTAGGTTCTCCGCCATTATCTGCGCGCTCAGCGGCTGGTGAAGGACTCTTTTTGCCGGGTTGGGTCGGTACTGCGGGGACAGATGTTGCTCTAAGAAGCTGAGGTCTGCCCGCTCTGGTGGCTCGATCCCCGGCGCTTCGCACGCGGGGAGTTCCGTCGCCCCGTGTTGGGGTGGCTGGGCCGTCCCCGACGTTTCTCCTAAAGCCTGTTGTGGCGCTACCGCCAAGGTTCGTCGAGGCGCGTCCGCCACCGCACCGGTCGCTGCCGCGCTATCCCTGCTCATCATGAGCGCGATAACTTGGCTCATTTGTTTCTGCATGTCGGCTATGACGTCGTTTTGCTTTCTCACTAGATCCCTCATTTCTTTTGCCGTCAGTTCGGGCTCTTCTTCTTCAATGAGCACGGCGCTGAGGTTGCTGGCTTCCGCGAACATCCTCGGGTCGGTCATTGCCTTGACTGGTGTTGCTTGGTCAGGCTGGTCGTGGTTGTGCTCTGCCATCGGGGGATTTTCTTTAGCGTTTCTCCTTGGCCCCACGGTGGGCGCCAATTGTTTGAACCTAACTGAGTGTAGGAGTGAGGTTCGGATGAGAGTTTGGGTCAAGAAGAAACGCGAGCGTCAAGTTCGATCGGAGAGATAGGAATGAGAGAATTGAGCGAGGACCGGAGTCCGAACTTTTAGAAAGAGAAGTAACAGTTATAGAGAGAGAATGGTGAAAAATGCGATCCCCTCACCCACCGTAGTAAATGCCGTATTTATAGGCTTCGTTGTGGTGGGTGAGTGGTTGACCCAAGTGGGGATACAAGATGTGACAATTGGGATACAATGATGTGACCACTGGCACATACTAAGGATTTTAGACCCTGTCCAGGCCATTCCCCTACCTAGGACGTGTCAGAGATTTGCCACTGGCCTTGATGTGACCACTTCCTGGGGAGGAAAGCTACGCCTCCCTCCTCTCTTGGCTTTGCCTGCGCTACGCTCTTCCTCGGCGCCTATAACTCACATCGCGCACAAACTCTTCGCGCCAGGACGTAGTTGACTACGATGAGGTGTCGCGCTCGGGGTCTTCGCGCTGCTATGTCGGAGTCCATCCAGTTGCGTCCGTTCCTTGACGCGGCCAGGCCCGAGTCACATGCCCAACAGTTCTAATTTAGGTTCACGATTCGGTTTGTGTTACTGTCTGCAGTTACACCAACCAAAATAATAGACTAAATGGGCTATTCGGTTCAACACGAGTAACCACAACATCACAAAAACCGTAAAATTCGACTTTTCAGCTAAACTCAATGGTGTTGATGCCAATTGCTACAAAAAAGGCATCGATTCGAGTTCCAGCAATCGACCAATTCTATTCGATTAACTGAAATCAACCCGATTGCCAACCCAAGTAAATGCTTTTAGTTAAAAATTATATCTAAAGATGGGCTAAATTACACGTTTGGTCACTCAAATTATACAAATCTTTCACGTTTGCCACCCGAATTACTTTTCTTTCTTATTCGCCACTAACTTTAAGAATCGTTTCACGGTTGGTCACCGGCCGTTACACTCCGTTAAGTTTGTCCTACGTGGCAGTCAACTATAAAGTTTGACCGTTAACTAGATGACGTTGAAATTAAAAAAAAAAATTCTTTCCACCTCATCATTGCACTTATTTTGTCTATATAATTTATCATATTAATAATTTATTAAATTTTATTAAATTTAATAAAATAAGCAAGTAATAATAATACGGCTTTGGCTTTGGATTTTATTAAATTTATCATATTAATAATTTATTAAATTTTATTACTTGCTTATTTTAATTTTAATTTAAAATAAAATTTATTAAATTTATTTTATTATGGGTTAGCAATGGCAGTAGCAGTAGAACAGGGGCTAGCGCCGCTTAATCATTCAGCCTCAACTGCAACCACTTCATCGCCTTGTCGTCCTCTTCTCAATGCCGAGTAGTGGAGCCAGTTCTAGCCTCGTAGCCGTAGCAACGACGGCAAACTCTCGAGATGGCGCTCGAGCAATATTGATGGGTTAGCAATGGCAGTAGCAGTAGTGGTAAGCCGTATTATTATTATTACTTGCTTATTTTAATTTTAATTTAATAAAATTAAATAAATTATTAATATGATAAATTTAATAAAATCCAAAGCCAAAGCCGTATTATTATTACTTGCTTATTTTATTAAATTTAATAAAATTTAATAAATTATTAATATGATAAATTATATAGACAAAATAAGTGCAATGATGAGTTGGAAAGAAAAAAAAATTATTTTTTTAATTTCCACGTCATCTAGTTAACGGTCAAACTTTATAGTTGACTGCCACGTAGGACAAACTTAACAGAGTGTAACGGCCGGTGACCAACCGTGAAACGATTCTTAAAGTTAGTGGCGAATAAGAAAGAAAAGTAATTCGGGTGGCAAACGTGAAAGATTTGTATAATTTGTGTGACCAAACGTGTAATTTAGCCTCTAAAGATGAAGGTAGCTGCAATTTTTTTTTTTTTTTGGTAGAATACTAGAATTAGAATCATTTTCATTTTTGAATTGTCGATTAGTGAAAAATGTGTTTCTCCGCTGGGGAATTCGTTTCACCAATCCGAATCATCCGACCTTTGATGCCATTTTGCACGTGCAAGTCACGAAGAAAAGTACAAAGCAAAACCAAGGACAAAAATAAATGTCTGGGGGTGGAAAAAATAATTAAAAATACATACCGAGTCAGCCAAACTGAGTTGCGCCGAACCGGGTGGGGATCCGATTCGGAAGGGGGTGAGTTACTGAGTGGGACAGGAAATGAGGGAGAAACCCAACTCGTTCATTCAACTTTTTAGGTCAAGCTGTGTATTTTAAGGTTTAAAAAGCACTGTTGACTGTAGCTGTAAGGCGAGCAGTTGGTGGGGAGTGAGGTCGGGAAGAAAGCCGAGCTCTGGGGTTTGGCTGATTGGGGGAAAGGAAAGGGAAGAGAGGAAAAAGAGAAGAAATTGGAGGAAGAAGAAGAGTTTTGGTGGTGGCTGGCTGACGGTGGACGGCGGTGGTGGTATAGATCTGAAGACCGCCGGAGGAAAATTTCTTTCTTTTTCTTTCCCTTTCTCTTTCAATCGGGTCTTATCATTCTATCATGATCTGATTGACCATTTCTCTTTCTCTCTCTGTCAATCCCACTCACTATAATTACCCCGAAAAGTCGCTAAACCACAAACTGAAGAATGCCTTCTAGGCCTTACTTCCACAAGATAATTCTCCCCAGAACCCTTCAGGACAGGAAGCTGGTAACGCCAATCTCTTGTTTTTTATATTGTTTCTCCCTTCTGCTCTGAACTGATTCTCTGTTCTGGGAATTTTACACTGCGATGCGATTGGATTTTTTCCCCCATAGCTGGTTTGACTGTTACATGCTTGTTTAATTTTGGGTTTTTTTTTTTTTTATTGTTGATGAGTTCGGAGAAATGGAACCCAGAATTTTATTTTGGTGGGTGGAGGTGGTTGTGCTACTAATTAGTGAGAATTCGATCATCAATTATGGTATTGGTGGAAATGGGGTTAACAAGACTGTGATTTGTGAATTAGGGTTTTCAGTGAGCTCTTTTCATGTTATAGGAAGAGGGTTTTTGAGTTTTTTTTTTTTTAACTGCAATGCATGTTGGGGAGGCAAAGAGGATTGTGAATTTCTTAATTTTTTCTGCCATTCTGGAATACGGAGAACATTTCCTCAGTCGAATTGATAGCTTTGTTGAAGTGAATTTAGCCTGTGTGTACGTTCACCACTGCTTATAGTAAAAACGTATCAGTTAAGAATGGAGAAATAATGTGAAAGTTTCTTTCTTGACTTCATAATCTGCTATCACTCGCTTGGATTGCTGTTTCATTTAAAAATTTGTTAATGTCGACATTTTCGTAAAATTGTAGCTGAAGATCATGAGCAATGGTTAGGTGTAAACGGCTCAACATCAGATAAGAAACAGGACTGCATATGTTGTATATGCGACTCTGCAATTTCGCATCTTAAATGGTTTATACAATATTTGTGTTTCAGCTTCTCTTCCAGGATTGTAGAAATCCATTAATAATTAGCATTGGAATAGTATCGTCTTGTTCTCTGGTCCCAAATGGGTTTGGATCCCCTAAAATTGCAATTTTTTTTCCTGTCATTAAATGGGTACAAACATAGCATATAGGGATATTATGTTACATGGGAGTATCCGTTCCTCACTGTGTATTACATATCTAAACTGCAGCTATCAGCGTACCTGTTCCATGTTGCATATTTTCGTGACATGAGAGTTAGGTGCAATTTTAGTATTTTGATCAGTATAGCAAGAACTGAGGATTGATTCTTATGCTAGAATTCATCCATCATTCTTCAAAAGCTTTTTCTCTTGCAGTTTTTCATCACATTGATGTTATGATAATATTAGCTCCGTGTTTTTGGGTGCGTTACTCTACGTCCTTCATTCTACTCTTCCATTCCTTTTCATTTGACTTCCCTGCAACTCGAACACCATTTTCCTGGAGTGTGTTGATCAGAGTTGACAACTGATTATCCTTTGTTCTGTGTCTTCATAAAATATTTCTTCTTGGAATATGCATAGGAAAGAATTTATCCTAACTTAACTTAGCTGCATGCAGAGGATCCCAGATAACTTTATCAAGAAATTTGCAAATGACCTCACTCCACTTGTCAGGCTGACTGTTCCGGATGGTCATGTGTGGCGTATAGGAATAGTAAAAGCTGATGATAAGTTTTGGTTTCACGATGGGTGGCATGATTTTGTCGAGAGTTACAAGATTCGTGTTGGCTACATGCTGATTTTCAGATATGAAGGAAATGCAATCTTCAATGTTCATATATTCAATTTGTCTGCTTCTGAGATAAACTATCAAACTAACACTCTCAGTGGGAAAAGATGCCTTCTATTTGATGATTTGGAAGATGAGGACTCTGCCGAGTACTTGAATCCCTTGCCGGTCTACCAAGTTCCCTACACAATGAAAGGTTAGCTCTTTCCACTAGATACATTCATAAATAAGCAATACTTTCTGACTGCAACATAACTCTGATCTACTAACTCGATGTGTGAAGCAAATCCGCATTTGACCAGAGTAACGAATGTTCCGCAACCAGCAACTCAGCCTGCTAGCGATGGGAATCTTCAGTTTAATGCATTTGATCAACGAAATGCTTCAGATGCACCACCACCACCACCAGTAAAAGTTCCCAAGAAACGTGGAAGAAAAAGGATAAAGCCTGATCCAAGTAAGTTCAGGGAATTCACCCCTTATTTGAGCTATTCTTTGGTTTGGAATTGCAATTAATTTCGGCTCTTAAAACAAAAAGATGCAGATGAACAACAACAGCCCTCTGCCCTAAAATCCCAAGAAGATGGAGATATGCGCCTCAGATTCTATGAAAGTGCCTCGGCGAGGAAGAGAACTGTGACGGCTGAAGAAAGGGAAAGAGCAATAAATGCAGCCAAAACATTTGAACCAGAAAATCCTTTCTGCAGGGTTGTGTTGCGACCGTCTTATTTATACAGAGGTTGCATTATGGTGAGCCACTTGAAACTGATAAGCTCCCTGCTTCTGTCAGCTGTCTTTATCCTCGGTTTGCTGGTTCCTATTTGAGAAGTAGAGCAAATAGTAGCAAGTTCATGTGTGTTTGAAAAATCATTGAAATGAGTACATGATTGGTAAACTGGTTTTTTTATCGACTAGAGACGCAACTGATGGGTTTTCTCGTTTTCAGTATCTACCATCCGGCTTTGCGGAGAAGCATCTCAATGGAGTTTCGGGATTCATCAAGCTTCAGTTTACTGATGGGAAGCAGTGGCCTGTTCGATGTCTTTATAGAGGAGGGAGAGCTAAACTGAGCCAGGGATGGTACGAGTTCACCTTGGAGAACAACATAGGGGAAGGAGATGTGTGCGTCTTTGAGCTGATGAAATCGAGGGATGTTGTGCTGAAAATAACTGTGTTCCGAGTCACAGACACTGCTGGCAACTATCTCAACCACCATCGATCTGCTCCTGCTCCGTCGAGGCACTAGAACTTAAAGCTGGGGATCCACATCATAGCATAGATTAGGAAGGCTGGAACTGGTGAGAACTTCGTCTCTTTCGCGTTGCTGTTGATGATCTGTCATGGAAGTCTCTCTGCTGGCACATTGCAATGCTGTTGATGATTGTCTATAAAAAAAAAGAAAACGCATCTGCAAATTAGCTGGAAGCTTCTTCATTTGTTAATTTAGGGTGCTTTGTGCACGGCATTTTTTTTTCCGTGGGTTTGATAGGGCTGTAAATAGACTGCTCCAATCAAGAAGGTATCAAGCTGGACCAGAACCATCAGATCTTTGTGTGGCAGCTCTGGTTCCTTTTCAGATTGCTATGTTTGATTCCAATTCCATGCTCTTTAGGGTGTATGCATGGTTTGTTCGCCAGATCTTTGTGTTCTGCTTTTCCGGTTTCTACCCTGCTTCTGCGTTGTTCTCTGTCTCGATGCATAGATCATTGTAAGACTTTCACAGGGAGTCGTGAGTATTGAACTCACGATTAGGCGTCCATTCCAGATGTAAAATTTGAGTCTTGTTTTAGTCTCGAATCCTTTTGGTCCATTGGAAAGTCGTAATAGTCTTCTTTTAGTCTCGATATATTAATCCAGGTCAACACTGGACGACCAAAGCAAAGCTAACCAAAGGGTGGTTGCAGTTTGTAAGGGAAAACAAGTTGGAAGAAGGAGATGTCTGCATCTTCAAGCTGGTTTGATGCGACCAACGTTGTCTTCAAAGTGATCATATTTGGGGTAAAAAGTAGAGTGGCCTTTTTTTTACTGAAGGATGCATCACAGCATCAGAAAGGGCCAAATAAGGAAAGCTGGGATGAGAGGTTTGAGTGGTGAAATGGCTTCATCAATCATGGCAGAAGTGATTTCGTCTGATTAAGTTTCAGAGATGGGTAGAATCGAGTGGGTAAATGAAGGTTACTCAAGAAGAGAACCGTTGGATCATAGCCTTACTTTTCAATCTTCACTCTGTAAATGAGCGCAAGTCATCATTTCAAGAAGCCAAAAAAGCCAGGGGGGGAAACAGAGCAATTACACATTTTCGACTCTGTGCCTGCAAACCAGAGATTTGATCCTGTCAACACATCTCTGGTTTCCCTTTCCTTGCAAACAAATTCTGAATTCCTACATTTCTAACATAGTGATAAGAAAGCAGCAAACTCCATAAAGCATAACTTAAAACTTTTCCCAAACTGGAATACTAGCTAGCTAGCTACCAACACTGCATTAGCCCATATTCAAAGCTCTGATGGGTCAGAACCCTGCATAGCTCCAGAACAACAAAGAAACCCTCCTCCCCAATCCCCATAAGCCCATAATCTCATCCACAGCTAAGAAGAGAGCTTTTCTCTTTAGTCTGCTCCAAAGCCCATCTTTTTCTGATCAATCTAGGGAAACCTTACCCTCAAGGAATCATGGCTGCCAGTGGCAACACTCGGAGCTTCACCGACGAGTTCCTCCCGCCGTTCGAGTACTTCTTCAAGGTGATCACGCCGGAAGCCGTCCAAAACAAGAAAACGGTAAGCCCCCTTTTTCCACAAAAGGGAAAAAATCAGTCTATTTTGTTGAATCTTTCAAGCAAATCCTTCACCTGATTTTGTGCTCTGTTTTTTTTTTTTTTTTCCTGTTCTGTTTCCATGGACGCGACAGATGCTTCCGGAGAAGTTTACAATCACTTTCAAGGCCAAGCTCCCAAACGTGGCGACGCTGAGAGGGCCAAACGGCAGAGTTTGGCGGGTCGGGTTGACAAAAGAACGGCGAAACCCGAACAGAGTGTGGTTCGACTCTGGATTCGGAGATTTCCTCTGCTTCTACTCCATCATCGCCCGCCATCTGCTCATTTTCAAGTACGACGGCTCCTCCGGTTTCGACGTTGTCATTTGCGACCTGACCGCCTGCCAGGTCGTCTATCCGAACCCCGAATCTCAGGTTTCTCCCGGCGATGAAGAAGAAGACGACAGCGACGATGATGAGCCCACTGAAGACGAAGTCGAAGAAGAAGAAATCAGCGATTCCGAATCTGACAGTGACGAGCGGTTGGGTCGTGGCCGTATTTGGAAAGAGAAACAGGTAGAGACAACCGGGCCTTCAAGCTCTCGCCGGAAACTCACCGGAGTGAAAATTCGAGCTGCCGGAACTGCTTCAGGTAAAAAAAAATAAAAAATGAACGAGCTTTTCCGAACAAAGAAACAGAGCCCACCTGATAATTATAGTTTTCATGATCTGTGTGTCAGGTTCCCGGCGCCTGCAACAACCAAACCGCCCTCTCACGGCGGCGGGGCGACTGGCTGGGCCGGATGGGCATTTGTGGTGGCGGCTGATGGCATCGAGGATTGTGACGTCAACCAAGTTAAGCTGCAGCTTCGACGGGTTGTCCCCAGGGAGCAAGAGAGGTATGGAGAAAGCCATGGATTGCGAGCCGAGGAACCCTTCTGTGCTCATCGTCATGAGGAATTTCCATGTTTGCACGGGTGGAGTCCTGGTAAGTCTCGCGCCATTGATTAGATCTATTTGGGTTAATGTTTGTTTCATGTTCTGAGTTTTTTTGTTTTGTTTGTTCTTGATGTGTGTAGTACATGCCCAGTAAGTTCGCCAAGAGCTACTTTTCTGGAGATCGAGAAAGAGTCACGCTGTGTGCTTACGAGGGGAAGACGAGATTTGTGGGTGAATGGCGTGCTTATGCCGCCATAACCAAGCCGCGGTTTAGCGTATTGTATATCAGAGGGTGGCCGGAGTTCCGATCGGACAATAACTTGGCGGAGGGAGATGTGTGCTTATTCGAGCTCGTCGATCAGGAGGAGAAAGTTTTCCATGTCTACATGTTTAGAGCTTGATGTTGTGGGAATGTGCCTAATGTGTTGTAATTTTCTTCCTAGTTTCATAGATGTCTGTGTTAGATTCTATCCAATATGTATTTGTGCACTAAATTGGATCTTGTGATAGGTTGTACTAATTATTTTAGCTAGCTTGCTTCCAGAACAGTTTGTGCCTGAGTAGATGTGTCTAATATTAATTGTTCATGTTCATGTTGATGTTTTATCCGATGAGGTCTCAGTCTCACCATCAGAAGCCTAGTAGGCCAGCAACAATGTCGATCTCAAGGAAAGCTTCTTGAAAAGTAAGATGTGAATAATAAATAGGGGATTAGGGATGGCAATGGGTCGGGTCGGGGGCGGATAGTGCATATCCGTTACCCTACCCAAAGTACTTCGGGTTTTACCCATACCCACATGTGAAACGGGTAGAAAATCAAAATCATGCACATACCCGTTCGGGTTTCGGGTATCCACGGTTATTCATGGATATTAATTTCTCTTCATAACTCCAACCAATATGTTAACATTCACACGTATTCTTATATTAAGAAAAAAGTACGACAAAAATTCACTAGAATGAAGAAAATTAACTAAAAACAACACAATTTCATGAAAATGTTATATTTATATGCTAAATATAAAATATGTTAGAGAAAAATAATGATTATTTCTAGACAAAATACATATGCATGTGTATAATCGGGCGGGTTCGGGTCGGATAGTGAGAAATCCATGCCCACTCATTACCCGTAATATTCAGGTTCGGGTTTTACCCGTACCCACTAAATGTCCTTCGGGTTTGTGCTTTACCCTACCCGACTAGGCCGGATTCGGGCGGATATCCACGGTTACGGATATTTTTGCCATCCCTATAGGGGATGGATAAAATATTAAAATGTCAAGCACAACAAAGGAGATTGGTGAATTACCCAAATATTTTGGAAATTTTGGAAAAAAAAATTACACATATTGTGCAATGGAGCTACGTGGACTATGAAGTGATGTGAAGGGTGGAAGGATATTGGTGGAGATTTTGAGCCTTAGACAGCAGTATCGAAGCTTTGGAATTTCGTTTGTTGGCAGAAGTAACAACTGGGTGGCCCATGATGTGGCCAGGAAGACCCTTCCCTTGTTGCCTGCGTCTGTAGATAGTTTTGATTTTGAACAGTGGTTTGAACTTGGGTTGTAAACTTTGCTATCTTTTTGCCTTGGTAATACAAGTGATCTATTGGTAAAAAAAAAAAAAAGAGCTACGTGGACTAGCATACAAAGTATAGTTATTCGGATTACAGCTTATTATACGTGTGAGCCCACATGCTCCACAAAACTATTAGAAACCGAACATAAAAATTAGGGTTACCGATCTGGAGCTGAGTCGCGGACTAGGTCGCTCTCTTTAACCCGTTCGCGACACTGCCCTCGTTGCGCGCGACAGACTATTAGCCGGTCGTCTCTATGATAAAACAGCTCGTCTAGGTGCTCGGCGGTTTTGTGCGAAAACCAGAGCTCTCTTAATACACTCTCTTTCGTGTTTCTGCTCTTTAATTGTGTGTTTAGTGGGTCTGGGGATTGCTCTATTTATAGGAGCAAAAACCCTAAAATATTCCCGTTTTCGTGGGGAATAAGTCACACTTAATTAGAAATAAGCGGAGACCGGGAATCGTCGCCGCCGTCGGTAAAAAAAATTAAGAAGCTTTCTCGAACCAAAGAAACGGAACTGCTCTCTCCAGACAGAGCAACCAAATTCGTGCCTGATTTCCTCTGTTTTCAGCTGCTCGTTACATTTAGACTCTGTTCAGGGTCCCGGCGGCGGGTGCAGGCAACCCATCGTATGGCGGAGGTTTGACACCTTGTAAATCAGAGGGTGGGCTAAGTTTCGCTCGGGGAATAAATTGATGGAGGGAGCTGTGTGTTTGTTTGAGCTCGTCGATGAGGAAGAAAGTGTTCTTAATGTTCATATTTTTAGGGTTTGATGCAAACGGATGAATTTGTGGGGAGCTGAATAGTACTAATGCTACTTAGTAGTAGTAGTAGTAGTGGGATGTTTATGAACTTTTTCAAACTATTTGTTCGTTGGTTGTCCAATTTTAGAAGTCACATAATTGGATTGTATAAGCTAGACGGTAAGAATGAAGGACTACAATAACCAATTTCTAATTTGCTAGTACCGAGTATAAATAAACCGCACTTCACCGTGGAATGAAACCGTACTAGGGGTTATACCAGACATCTTAATGGTAGGGTATTTTTTTGTGCTAAAACCGTGATTTAACAATAGTTCAACGATTTTGTACCACTAAAACCACCTACCAATCAGGGTTCAATATCCAGTATTTTTCAGTCAGAACAACCGACACGATACGGTTTCTAAAACATTGCTATAACATATCTCTTCTTCTCCCTCTCTTTCCTCTTCTCCTCTCCCATTTTGTTTTTTCCCTTCTCCTTCCTCCCTTTCTTCTACAAAGCACCAGTCTCTCCTGATCGTCAAGACCACCAATCTTCAAGGCTGGGACGTCACGACTTGATAGTTAAGAGTTGTCATTTACATGAAATTGATGTAAATAATGTGTTCTTATATGGTGATTTAGTATAGAATTATCTTATATATAATAGCGGACTACACTTTATTGCCCCAAACATCCATTTACTGTTTCATTCTTTGTCGTTTACTGAAAAGGAAATTATGGTTCTTCTTAGCCCTTTCATTCTTTGCCGTTTACTGAAAAGGAAATTATGGTTCTTCTTAGCCCTCTGGCCTCTGCAACGAACGTTGCTGTCTGCCAGCTCCGGCCACCTTGCCTCTCTCAAATCACCGCCCTTCCACCGCCTCCTTTTGGTCGATTCGGCTCATTCTTTCCGTACGTGAATTGACTAGCTTGAAAATTTGTACTTATATTCACTCATGGTTCCAATAGAGAGAGGACTCATTATGAGCTAAAGCTCAAACCGAGAAGATGGAGGCAGAGAAGCAGAGCAGTCTCTCTCTGAGAGGAGTACGACTAGCACTGTAGTAGACATGGGCGGTAGCGTATGGAAGCAGCGACCTACCGTACTTTTCTCCCCTCTTTTTTTTTTTAAGCGGAGCTTTTCTCCTCTCTGATTTCAGCCTTCCAACCTCATTCTCACCCTTTCACTCTGCTCCTCCTTTCGGCTTTGATTGTATTTGAATGGAGGCAGATGCTTCCCCATCTTCCCCCCTCCATGATTCCCTCCTTCTCTCTTGCAAAGTAAGCCCCAAAATTTACCCTTGATGTTGGCCATCGGGAACCTAAAAGCAGAGGAAGACATGATCGATTTGGAACAGGAGGAGCACGGTCAGAAGGAAGGTGACGAGAAGGAAGGCGATCCGTCAGACACAGCGGCATCGCGGAATATTTCTCCCCCCTGTAAGCGTTTCCCCACCTCATTCCCCACCTCTCTCTTTGTTTTGTTGGTAGAAGAAGAAGCGGAGAAGTTGAAAAGGAGAACACATAGAAGGAAAAGGAAAAGAAATGCTCAATGAGCTATGGACTTTATTTCTCTTGGTGGTGGAAGAAAAGCAGCAGAAAAAGTTGCAAAAGAAAACACAGAGAAGGAGAAGGAAAAGAAGACGATCACGAGCTATGGACTGATTTTGCGGGGACTTTCACTTCTTGGCAATGGCCACAGAATTATCGGTATGTTTTGATTTCGTACTGTCAACAAGAAAATCTTATATTAGATCGAAGGTTTTGTTTTGTCCCTACTTGATTTTTGTCAACAAGAAAATCTTATATTAGATCGAAGGTTTTGTTTTGTCCCTACTTGATTTTTGTATGGTACGAGATTCCTAGAAATTGTGACGTTCCCTTCATTTGTTTTTGCGGGGTGGGAGTGAATGAATGGGCACAATTAGTCGTTTGCAGTTTGTTCTTTTGAACTTCTCAGCATATGCTTTTTGTCTGCAAGCTCTGCCATCTTATATAATCAATCAGCCCCTTTGTGTTGTTGTTGCAATTCTGGTTCTGAGTTACTGCTAAGCTTTCCAAGGAGTTCATGGTTGATGATGGAGGAGTTGGCCTGTGCACAAAGACCAGCAAGAAATCATGGATTCCAAGAGTCCCAGCAGCCCTCCATTAAGCTCCTGCTCCACATCTCGGACTCAGCCTCTTAAACAGATGTCTTCATACTCTAATGGTTCTATCATGGAGTGAAAATTGTTTCACACTCTAATGCTAAACACTTAGACACCTCAAGTGGTAAGGAACAAGAGCCAGACTTCTTTATGCCATCTTCTGCTGTTGATGAGAAGGATTCAGTGGTAGTAGTAGATTCCACTGGTTATGATCATGAGACTTCCAGTACTACTTCAAATGACTCGCTCGAGTTTGGAACAGATTTGGACAGTGGCTAGAGTAACAACAACCATGCACCTTTCCATCTCGACCTGTTGGAGGCCAAAGAGACACTAGGAGCAGAGGCCAAAGAGAGCTTTACAACAATGAAGAAGCAAGAACGAACACTAGGAGCAGAAAGACTACCAGCATCTGCAGAGCCAGCAGTGGGAAAGATGTCAGTGATGAGAGCAGCAGCACGTTGTACAAGCCTCACAAGGAAATTGGTGATGTGAGGCGGGAAGCAGGGCCCACGTTGGAGGAGCTCTCAAGCTGTAGCACTTTCGAGTAGTGAAGAAGCTCGAGTGTGGGGACATAGGTAATATTTACCTATCTAAGTTGACCAGCACCTTGACGTATTTTGCAATGAAGGTAATGAATGATTTGTTTTAGGCGGCTCGGAAGAAGGTTCTGATGGCTCAGACGGAGAGGGAGATTCTGCAGTCTCTAGATCATCATTTTGGCCACTTTGTATTATCACTTCGAGACCGAGAAAATTGCCTTGCTTGGTGATGGATTTCTGCCCTTGTGGTGACCATTCTCTGATTCCCTCTGGCAATGGCCACCTGGAAGGTTCTTCCCTGAGCATGCTGCCCTGTTTGGATTCTTCTCCTTAACTGGTCTTTTTTGCTTTTCTCTCCATAGCAATAGAAGTAAGTTGGCTTCTACCTTAACATGGCTTGCCCTTTTCCTGATAAACTTGATAGTTTCTAAAACAAAAATCATTATATTATGTATTGGATTTAATATACACTGGAATTGCATTACTGAATAGTTCATGTTTTCTTTTCTCTATATACTATGTTAGATTTTCAGACATATATGTCCTTCCCCATCTAAAGCTTCTCAGAATCCGTGCCCTTCTTATTGCTTGATTTCTCTCCTCAGAAACAGTCCCCAACTTATTTCTATCAACTTCTGATTCAACCTCTGAATTAGTTTACTGAGCTATATATTGTTCTGCTTCTTCCATAATTGTCTATTTTCATTTCTGAGCTACGTGGATGAAGTTTACCGTGTCTTTCTGCAGGTTCTGTGTTGTAGAGGTTATCCTTGCTTTGGATTACCTACACATGCTGAGGACCATATACCGAGACATTAAGCTCGAGAACGTTTTAGACGAGAGGCAAAAATGTCGTACCAATTTCCTGAGCTCCACATGTTGTAGTATTAGCATGTTTTCCTGCTGCTAAAAGCACTTCAACAAGTAATATAAGTTTGAGGAAATGGTTTTGCATTGTGGGGAGAGTACCTTCACAGTCCAGTAAGTATTTTTCCTCTTTCCATTTTCTGTTTATATTGAGTGAAAACAGATTTGTTATTGCTCAATCATAACAGAACCAACTCCAAAGAATTAAATCATGCACATGTTAATTTCTTATCATTGTTTGCCATGTTTATTCAACGATGCTTTGACCCCAGTTTAAGATGATAATGCTTGCTGAAATGAAGAACACATAATAGCAAGTTCTAAACAATGCACATACCGAGTTCCAAGCTACAACTGAATCTATGCATCCTTCCTCATGCCTAGGCCATACTTTTCTCTATGATCTTCTGCTATTGGTTGTAGGTAATTCGATTAGCATTAACCTTATACCATGCCTTTAACGTGTTTGGGAGCTGCAAAGATGGAGAGGAAGTGCCTAAAGAGTCTTCTGCCGTCGAACAAACAGAAATTGAACAAACATGATGCAATTTCTGACCATAGAGAGAAGGTCAAAAATCTTGTTGCTTAAAATTTCATTTCCTTAGACAGAGCAAAGCTCTATATGCTGATTTCAACTTATTTATACTTTTGTGTTTAATTCACATGATAGTATGTATATTGTGTAACTTTACCGTCCCCACTTCTGGATCGTTTTTACGACAGAGTTTGATTGAATGTCTCTTATTCATCAGAGTAATTAGCTGAAGCATCTATTTTCCTGCTACTGCTGAATCAATGGGTTCTATCTGTCCGTACTCGGATTGAAGCCATTATTTAGTATGGAGAGAAACACCAAAAAGAGCAATTAAAGGAAAAGAATCCGAATAGGACAGAATGCTCAGTGAAGAACTTTGCAGGTTGCCTTTGCTCGAGGGAATGGTCACCACCAGGGCAGAACTCCATCACCAAGCAAGCCCATTTCTCGATCTTGAATTGTGAATACAAAAAAAGTGACTTTGTTTGTATTACCAAAGTGATTTTTAGATTTTGTTCAACATACTTGACGGGTATGTACAAGTAACTTTGCGTACTGTACGCTTCATCTAAACTGCCCACAATATGAGTATGTTGTTGCAACTTAAGTTCCCGCGGCGTAGCAGCGGGCATTTTTTCTAGTTCGTATATGAAAGTCCATTCAGGCTTTCCTCTTCCTCCTAATTCATCTAATCTAGCTTAGGGGTGATAATCGGTTGGCGGTTTCTCGGTTCAACCGAAAACCGCCCCGAACCGAACGGTTATAAACCGAAGCGAAAACCGAAAATAGCCTGGCGGTGTCGGCTTCGGTTGGCGAATTTGGGTTATAATGCTAACCGCAAACCGCGAGTGAAAAACCGAGCTAAACTCGGTTCAACCGAAAACCAACTTCTCACCCCTAATCTCCCCCTGCAACCCCCAGTCCCCCACTCTCTTCCTCTTCCTCAACACGATTTTCCCTCTCCTAAACATGACTTTCCCTCTCCTCTTGCAGGTCTCTCCCTTCTTCTCCGTTGCCTTCTTCTCCCTCCTCCATCGCTAACCCATATCCTCTCCCCTAGCCGCTCTCCGCCTCTCCCCCTCTCTTCCTTTCCCTGTATCCTCCAGATCCAAATTCACAAAGCGGCGATTTGGTTCTCCTCCGCCGATAAGAAAGCGGCGATAGTCGAGATTCAGCGAATAAAGGCCAAGAAGGAGAAGAGGGTCGTTGTTGGAAGCAGCCCAATCCTCTAACTCGTCGCCCCCCTCACTCCGCCTCCCAATCCAGAGGTCGATTTTGAAGCGGCGATGGTCGTTGCTCCACCTCAGCCTTGCATGTTTCGAGCGGCAACGGATTCAAATCCACGCCTCTGCCTCTCCCGCCGATCAAGAACTCCGACCATGTATGCTCGTCATCGCTCCTCCTCTGCCTTCGGCGACGGATTTAGATCCAAATCCTCCTCTCGACGCTCTACCTCCGACGGGTCTCTCTTCTTCCTCCGCCGATGGTTCAAAATTGGGATTTTTCGGTGACATGCATAGCGATGGTGGTGGTCGGAGGTGGTGTGCGTCGGTCTCTGAATAACCGTCGTTGAAACCGAAACCGACGGTTGCGGTTTTCGGCTAACCGATGGTGCCGTCGGTCGCGGTTGCGGTTGCCGATTTTACCTCTTTCTCGGTGTCGGCTAACCGCCTTTGCGGTTCGGTTGAAACCGAAACCGCACCGCTAACAGGCCTAATCTAGCTTGTAAGTTGAGTAAGTCGTTATATGGTCTTGCGCCTATGGAATCACAAGCTTACTAAAATTTGCATATAATTTCGGATTGCTTGCTGCTAAACTTGTGTTCCACGCCTTGTAGTATGGAATTAGGTTATCTAGCAAAGATGATAGTTTATTAGATGATGCACCATGAGCCACCATTTGTTGATTAAATGTTCGCATTGGTCCTTAACATTGTTGGTTGGTTGGCTGGCCGTACAATGGAAGCCCATCGCTCATCTAGTCATCTCAATGAAGCAGAAACCTGAAAAGTAATGGAAGCCATTACAGCCTTTTTGATCCTTGGCCTGCACCAGAGATTCACCTTTGATACGGAAATTTATTCCACCCTTACCAAATATGTTCATAAAAAAAAACCTGTAAAGCAGGAAAGTGAAAAAAGCTGAGCCTGAAAGTTACCCAAATTAGAAGATAAGCTAGTAAACACTCTGAAGAACTCAGCAGTCCCTGAGAAATAACAGAGCAAAGGCTCCGAGTTAACATACAGAAACACTTTTCTTCTCTCCTTCTCCTTCTTTCTTCCCTGCTTTCCTTTCTTCGTCTAAAGTTTTCTACTGCTGGGGAAAAAAAGTATCGAGTGGGAAAATGGCTGCCAACGGTCGGAACTTCGTCGGAGCCAATGAGAACCTTCCGCCGTTCAAGCATTTCTTCAAGGTGATCTGGCCGGAAGCCATACAGACCAAGAAACTGGTAAATCTGTTTTTACTTTTACCCAAAGAATCAATCAGTCTATTTAAGCTTTGATCTTTTCAAGAAACCGACTTCATGCTCTGTTTTTTTATTGTATGATTTTATTTTTTTTCTTTCCATGGACGCTATGCAATACAGATGCTCCCTCGGAAGTTTGCCGTGACTTACAACGACGAGCTTTCTCGCGAGGTGCTTCTGGAAGTTCCGAACTCCAGAGTTTGGCGGGTGCGGCTGACCAGGGAGCGTGGAGACGAAACCAAACTGTGGCTCCACTCTGGATTTGGGGATTTCCTCCGTTTCTACTCCATCGTCGCACGAGACTGCCTGATTTTCAAGTACAATGGCCGCTCCCGTTTCGAAGTGGTCATTTGCGACTCCACCGCCTGCGAGATCGCCTACCCAAATGAAGAACCTCCGGCATCTTCCGGTGAAGATGGCGACAGCTACGACGACTCTGAGTTTGACAGCGACGCTCCCGCTGGAGAAGAAGAAGAACACAGTAACGGTTCTGGGTCAGAGAGCGAGCAAGCGGAGATCGGAAATCCCCGAAGTGGTGATGGATCATGGTCTCGCCGGAGATTTAAACGACCGGCCGGAACTACTGCAGGTTAGATTAAAAAAAAAGCTTTTTTTTTTAGAAAGGGAGAAAAAAACCCTGATTTTTTTTTTTTTTTTTTTGCTCTGTTTCTCTGTTTTCTAATTGTTCGTTCACAGACGGTCGAGAAAACAGAGGCAAACGACCTCGTCTGACGGAGGAGGACAGTGATACCTCGGCGGACTCACAATCTGACGATCACCGGCGAGCGGGAAAAGGAAGCGGCAAAGGCAAAAGGGTCTGGAAGTGGACGGGAAGCGGCGCTTCAGGATCCCGCCGCCGGGGAAAACGCCCCCAGCCCAGTTGCGGTAAAACAGAGTCGAAAGAAAAAGCTGATTTCGTTTCAGATTGGAGGAAAAAAGTAATAAAGCAATCATCTTTCTTTCTTTCCTGTGGAGGGATTTTTGCAGGGAGGGACGACGATCTGCGGATCCGGCTGCTGGCGTCAAAGATCGTGACGATAACCCGGTTCTGGTGGAGCTTGAAGCACTTGTCTACAGAGAGCAAGAACGCGATTCACAGAGCCATCGACCGCAGCAACCCAGGAAGCCATTCTGTACTGATCGTCATGAAGAAGACTCACATTCATCCAGGCATATTCGTGAGTGAGAATTGTGGATATGGTTTTAGATCAAATTGAAAAACTTTGCAGCGTTACTCCTCTGCTTGAATGAAAAGAAACTGAATCGCGTTCTTTTGTGGTTTATGCAGAACATACCTGCTAAATTTGCCAAAAAGCACTTCCATCAGCATTCAGAAGTGGTCACAATGCGTGTCTACGAGGAGAACGAGGGATTTGTGGGCGAATGGTGCGTCTCTGCGGAAAGAATTGAGCGTAATCTCGTGAGTGTAAAAAGAGGGTGGATTGAGTTTTGTGCAGACAATCGTTTGGTGGAGGAAGATGTGTGTTTGTTGGATCTCGTTGATCGGAAGGGAAAGATTTTCGATGTTCACATTTTTAGGGCTGAATGAATGTGAATATTTAGTGGGGCTGGAGATTAAGTAGGAATGCTACTGCGGTGGTGTAGTTAGTTGTTGTAAACTCGCCGATCTAATCCTTCAAACAGTTTATGTGGCTTGTTGTAATAGGTTTGTATCTGTGTGCTGTTTTTTTTTTTTTCTTTCTCTCTTTAGTTGAGCTGTTGGGTATGTTTATCGCAGAAGAGTTATTCTGCTAACTTGAAGATTCGTTAGAATATACTAACTAATATCCAACATGTAAGAACTAATATTCAAGTCTGTTGAGTATTTAGAAGGCACAGACTAGTATTAAAAACATCACAAACTAGTATCCAGACAGCAGATACCAACTAATATACAGAATCAACCAACTAGTATGTATTATGGATACTCTTATGTGTTATCTGAATACTAATTATGTGTTGTATGGATACTATTATGTGTTGTCTAAATATTAATTTGTGAATTTGGGATAATAGTTGATTCATGGTTGATATCAGTTAATATGCTAACTTTTTTTGACGGATTTTTATGTTATTTGAATGTTTTATCTTTCTATTAGATGCTATTTTGAGTTGAGAAACAATTATTTTGATGAAGTTTGTCATTCTATGAGCTCAATGAGCTCAAATCTTTTATGCAAGACTTGTGACAGCTATCCAACTTCATCTATATTTTGACTTGTGGGTGAAACTAGTTGCTATTAGCAATGCGTTTTGCGAGTAGGGGGGGATTTTTTCACAGAAGTCAGAATGGCAAGTAAGAACAAGAGGTAGGGTGAGAGTGGATCGGATATGTTTCTCTCACCTACTATTGGGAGGACGTCCTCCAAGCGGAGAATATGATAATATAGTATATAATTTACAGGAATACATATTCGTCCAATAAGAATAATGTATTCTTATAATAGATAGTAGTATGAAACAGCAGCCGACCCAAAACCCAATGAACTCGTAACCTGATTTGCCCGCAACCCGACTAACCCGCAACCCGTTTGAATCCAAACCCAATAAACTCGCAACCCGATGAATCCGCAACCCGTTTGAACTCGAACCCTATTGAACCCAGCCCGAACCCGCCCGATTGACACCTATACTCGCAATGCATTATTCTATGGCTGCAATGCGTACGGATCGAAACCACCCAAATCTTTTTTTTTTAATTTTAATGAAATTATAAGGGATAAAATTGAAATAAAAAATAATATAATTGGACCCCAAAATAGCTCCCTCGTTGATTTATTTAGCCAAAATCCGATAGAGTGAGAGATTGTAACAAAATATCCCATTTGTCTTTGGGCTTTTATATCTGTATTGGGCTTGTCTTAAGCCATGCTTCGTGAGTGGGCCCACAATGCATTGCTCCGTGGTTCGATATTATTTATTTATATTTACTTACGCTATTAAGTAGGGCTGACTATTTGGTCCGGGTTTTTTGGTTTTACCCGAAATCGGACCGTATAATCCGGACCGAGACCGAATCGGGACCGGATAGTAAACAATCCAATCCAATCTTTGGGCTTAGATTTGAGGTAAAAAATCGTTCGAGACCGGATCGAAAACTGGATAAAGACCAGATAAAAGAGCTCAACACCCAAAACTTAAGGGTAATTTGCATAAATGGTCACAAACCTTTGCACTTGGTACAAAACTTAACCAACTCCTCACCCTTTAAGGCCTTAGGCCACTCAAATCCCCACAAGCTCAATATAAAATCAAGACCGAATTGGGACCGAACCAGGTCAAGACCGGACCGGATCAAGACTGGACTGTATCCAATCCAATCTTTGGTCCTTATATTTTCAAATGACCGGACTGGACCGGATCAATTTGGCCAATTTAACCGGACCGGACAGTATAGCCACCCCTACTATTAAGGTTGTCAATTCTATTTAGCCGGTTAGTCAAGTCGAGTGAGTGAGTTGAGGTTTAATGGTCCGATCACTTTACTTCGGATATGTGAAAATCATTATATTGATAATACATTTATAGATTGTATAAAATCTCATATAACATATGAGTAATAGCATATAACATTACACCAAAATAACATAGCGTACTTGGATCCAACATATAGTGAGAATTCACATACACTTGTGTAACAATTAATATTAATATTCAAATATTCAATTTAGAATTCCAAAAATATTGTCAGGCAAAGAGAAAAGTTATGGCATTTTCGCAAACCAAAGGAAAAAATGACAATGTGTGACCTCCAACCTGATAACATTGTAGTAGGTTGACCTGACGGGTGTGTGCGGCTCGTTTTTGACACCGGGTCAAGGCCAAAAACAGTCACCCGGCGGGTCAACCTGCGGGTTGACAATCTTGTCTGATACTGAAGTAAATGACTTGGATTATTTTTTAGGATAAATGCTAATTATTAGCGAAACCTGTCTGTCATTTCTTTTTATTAGCCAAAACAATTAAATTACTAATAATTAACCAAAACTTTTTGTAACACATGTTGTCAAATCAATACTACTAACAAAATTGCTAACTAAAAATTGATTATTAGTAATTAATAAGATTGAAAGTATGAAAGGGTTGGATAATAATTAGGGTTTACCTACTTTTTATTATCTCTTCATTTCTGTTTATTTCCAGCAAGAAAGAAAACGTTTAACTTTTACTTCCAGTGAGCGGTTAGTAATTAGTAAGAAAATCAAGCCGCGCATTCCGGAGCCGTCCGTCATTTCTCGCCGGGAGCCAGCTGAGCGATGGCCGACGGAGGAGGTTGTAGTGGAACTTCACAGCACAGCGGCTGGGTTCATCGTGTTTTCTTCAGAGTGATGCTTCCCAGTGTCGTTCGTGAAAAGAAGCTGGTAAGTTTCCTACATATTACACACTTCAAATCCCTGTAAAGACAAAAACCCTGTTGCAATGGCACTCTGATTCAATCGAATTTTGCTGCTGAATGCCGTTCCTCCGCTGTGTATTTTGACTAGGAACCCTAAATTCGGATAAACGTTCTCTGTCAAATTGGGTATTTTCATAGGTCCTAACTCCTAAGTGTTAGTTGAGCAACGGGATAATGTTTTTGACTGATTTGCAGAAGCTGCCAGCGAAATTCGTGCGTGGGTACGGCGATGAACTATCGTCAATGGCTAGGCTTTCGTTACCAAACGGCTTCATATGGAAGGTGGGCTTGGCGAAAACAGCAGCCGACGAGATTTGGTTTAGTGATGGCTGGGACTCATTTGCAAGCTGCAATTCAATCAACTCGGGTTATCTCATGGTGTTCAAGTACGTGGGATCGTCTGCATTCGAGGTCGAGATTTTCGACCAGAGCACTTGCTCAATCCGCTATGATTCTGGTGGACATTGTGTCAATGCCCCACGTAGCAAGAGGCAGAAACGGGTGAAACACTGTGACTGTGTGCCTGCCAACAAGGCTGGAGTTGATGATGGTGATGGTGGTAGTGAAGACCAGTATGATCTTGAGAATTCGAAGCCTTTTCCTGGTAAAGGTGAGGATGGTGGTGATAGCGGTCACATTGCTACCAGTCAAACTCCAATTGCGAGGAGGAAAAACGGACCGAAAAGGAGGAGAACTCAGGTGATTGAAATTACTTCGAGTCCGGATTCTCAAGTTGCAAGTGAGACTCTCGAAACTGGTAAATAATGCATCACTGTAAAACTTGTCTTGATCGATATGCATTTGGTCTCTCTGGTTGATTGTTCTATATTCTCCATCTACCACCACTACAGGTGATCCGGAGAAGCTGCGGAGCTGTTTAGCAGCAAAGGGTATTCATACAAGTAAAAAGTTGCCCCTTCTATCACCCAGCTTGTACAAAAGCTGCAAGAATGGGATACAAGAAGCTATGAAATTGAAGCTAAAACGTCCTAGTTTCCTTGCTGTGGTGCATTCAGTCGGCGTCAACAGAGCTGCCAGACCATTCGTGAGCGACTGAGCGTTATTATCTGGCCATAGTCCTAAACACATATTAATTCATTACATTAAACTTTTGATGTTTTATTCACTTGTTTGTGTCAACTATTTTGTGATCCACGGTGGCAGACAATACCAGCTTCGTTCATGACAGACCATATTCGTGGAGAATGTAAAAGCATTACGCTCGAGGTGTTCAAAGGGAGAGGAGGGGTTAACAAGTGGAAGCTTGGGACAACATTGAGAGCATGTTCAGGGGCAGGGTTGCTTATGGCAGTGGGATGGACAGACTTTGCCAGTGATAACAATTTGGGGATAGGGGATGTTTGCCTCTTTCAGCTGACAAGTCCTGAGGATCGTGTGATGAGAGTCTCGATATTTAGGGCTTTACCTGGAGTAGAAGAAGGGGAAGAGATGATATCATTAGCACCAGTATGAGATGTTCCATTAGCATGTTGTTGAAGAGGGTTTAGGGTAGAGCCTATATTAGGAGAAGTACAGAGGGTACTCTTTGCTTCTTCTTTTTTCCCCCCTTACTTTTTACTGGATGATCAACCATTTTGTAGCCAGGCACACAAGAAAGCAATGATTTTTTTGTTGAAAATGAATTCCCATTTTATGGCCTAAGTGATATAGGCTTGATGAGGTTGCCTGCTACCAACTGACGGAGCATCTGTGATGGAAGGTCTGGTAATGGGTCGAACTTTTGGTGTGCTCCTCTGTTCACTGGGGTGGATTGAGCTTGAGCAGTTGCCCTGGATTGGATCGGCCGAAACATTGCTCGAATTGCAGCATTGTGTAGTCTAACTTCAACAGCCAGTGATGGCTGTCAAACTAGAATCCCTGCTTTATATGACCTTTTTTGCTTGACTGTGGAGCTCAAACAGTTGATAGACAATTTTTGTTCCCTTCAACGAAAGCCTCAAACTTGGTCAGTATTGGAGAACATAACAAACTAAAGTTTGGATGAAGTAAAACTCTGCCGCCTCCATGGGAAAATGCCTGGAAGAGAACCAAAAGAGCCGGTCTAAACGGCAGCAGATGTCCTCCTTTCCAGACGGATCGAGCATTGTATATTGGTATTCTTCAGCATAATGCAACAAAGTGTCATGGAGAAGAAGAAGCTCGTAACACAGGCCACTTCTTCCTCTTTCCTCCGTAACTCTCTGTTTCTTCATGCTTTACTTTGTTCGTTCATGGCATGAACGAAGATCCTGTTAATAATCTTTCGCTTGAGATATCAACAAGTTGTTCACGAAGCAAGAGAGTATAGGCAAAAATATGAGATGGAACTGAACAAGCAATACTATGTTATCTTCTATATGTAATGTTAGCAACATCAAGATCCTCTCCATCCATGAACATGAAGTAAGAAACAAAACTTGAAACTCCATGGTGGTCCTGTGAAACACTCGGTCATTTCCTAGTTCCTAAGTTACTAGCAAAGCACGGCACAGGTACAAGTGCATGTATAAATTAAAATCGTACAACTGAACTGGCTAACTGGTAACCGATAAGCTAAAAGACTCGGAGAGATCCTTTCAGCAAAGCCTCATTTGTACCAGCCAGTGAGCAAGTACCTCAAAAAGAAACAAAAGCCGCAACCAACAGCCTGTTGCATGCAAACAGGAGAAAACATATCAGCAAACCAACCCAAAACATAGCAACAAAGAAAAACCCTTCACACATGAAAGTTATAACCAGAGCAGAGTATAAATCACCTGAACGAGAAGAAGATGAATGCATAGTGAGTTTTCCTTCTTCTTGCCGAAAAATCTCAAGTAAACATTAACCACCGTTCCATCCTTTGTTCCAGTTAGTAATCCTGTGTCAGGATCAAACCTGAAAGTTGACATAAAACCATACATGTGTGAGATGCTTTTGTTACAGGATTGTAGAAGTCATAGCACATTCTCAATTAAAGCAACATGAGTAACAATATCACCTAGGAAGACGATGACGTGGACAATGGACAATACCAGCTAGCTGAGTGAACAGAAAAGGTACTGTCAGCATTTGTTGGGGGGGGGGGGGGGGGGGGGGGGTAGAATTTACAAAGTGAGAAATATTTAGTATCAAACCTGAGGGAGTGATAACAGAAAGTTTATCACTTGAGGCAGAAAGAAAATCAGCAGCGTTTCACTGAAATGTAAAAGGAATATATTATTGCACTATGTAAAGACATAGTTTATGATATGGGTTGAAATAAAGGATGATATCCATGAGAAGAAGCAATAGCCCACGTATTCTCATTTAGCAATAGCCAGAATGATAAGCAAGCACACAAACCAACACCCACACTTATATGTACAGTATTCAGATTGTTATTGCTGAGCTAACTTCAGTATGAAATTGCCAAAAGAAAGTTGAATTGACATGTCAGAATCGGAAAATCAGCATACCTGAAATGACCTAAAATCCCAACAACAGCCATTGTCATCCCGGCAAAGTAAGTGTAGGTGTCCCCAACGAAAACAGAAGAAGGGTACCTAGAAATAAAGAATGAAACATTTATGTTGCAGTTTATAAAATGAAGGGAGGCAGCAATAAACCAAGAAACATTAGGTCAAGTGTACATACCAATTGTACGAGAGTAAGGCCAAGGAGGTTGCGAGCAATGGTTGAACAAGATAAATTGAGAAGGCATGGGCCTGTTGCTTCTCGGGATCAATTGATGCTCCGATTTGCATGATGTTGTGTACCAAAATCTAAGACACACTAAAAACAGTTAGAACTCTTAAAACTGTTGCAAGCCAAGTACTTTAATAGGTTTGTGCTTACAGCAGATGCAATCACAACTGTTTGTCCAACTTCAAGCCCATTTATACCCGCATGGATATTGATAGAATTTGTGCAGAAAACAACCAGAAGCCCCATATATAACTTATATATCCAGCCTGTTCAGTAACAACGAGAAACTACATGAGAGTATGACTCGTGATGAAACAGAAAGATGCAAGCTAAGACATTGTAAATATATGGCATATTAGTCAGATTAAGAAAATTGTGATGTATGCTAAAACCTAACAGATCCTACTACTGCAGAAATGCCAACAAACATTTAACCTCAGGGAAGTACATGACATCACCAAGGAAACACTCCACTCTCTCAAACCAACCAAGAGTGCCACAGACTGTTATACCAATTCAAGAATGATCGAAGACTGAAACAAAATATGAAAGGAATTATAGAGGTTGTTCTACTCGGTTTAACCAGAACAAAAGCACCTAAAAAAAGTTGCCAGTAGACTTAATCAAACAAATAGGCAGGGTCATTTGTTTATCATGGGAATGACGAAAAAGGAAGGTTAGCCATTTTAGCATTAAGCCTCCTTTCCATGATTTTCCACCCACTTCTCAAAGATGGCTTCTACACCATTGGCCATAATGTCATTATGTACAAGTGACTCATGTTTTGCAACACTGTTCTCTAATGGTCAAAATTAATATGAATTAAAGAACAATAGCATCGATCGAAGAGCCTAAAAGTGAGTTAACCACTATTCACATATGTTTTGAGGTGGCAACAGTTTTTGAACAACTCTTTAGAAAGTTTTCAAATTAGGACAATCGGGGGTATACATGGTAGTAACTTCCATCAGCATCTTCCCAGTTGATATCGAAGGCTTAGTGCGCTAGTTTATCTTCTTACAAATTAGTGTAATTAAAGCATCATTGTCATTTACAAGAGCATCTCATAATATTCATCAGAAAGAAAGCAGAGTACAAAGTAGTCAATCAAGCACACGAAACTGTAATAATCATTTAATAGAAAACACACCTAGGTCCAACACATCGACTCCAACATATTGAGTCAAAGGCTTTGGTATGAGAATAGTTGTATGTCCAGCATACGCCATTAGCAAGGGGAGTGCAGCAAATGATGGTAAGAGCAATTTCCTGCACTCAAAAGTTGACAAACATTCCATAAGGATTCCAAAGAATAGTTCAAAATGAAAACAGCCAAAATATAAACTGAGAGAGATAACAATATATTCCTGATTTGGATTACAGTGTCACCCAAACACAGAAATCGGCAGAAAAACAATTAAGGATTAAATTTAGGAATGCGGATCTTAAGGTTCCAGGGAAACGGATAGTAAATTCATTAAGTTGATTGAAGAATACGTGGAACATAAGAAGATGTAAGCTAAATCGACAAAAGATACTCACACTCTCCAGGGGATATCAAGGACATCATCAACAAATCCTAGCAGTGTCATGAAGCATATGCATGCTAATGCAGCATTGTATTCCACAAGCCACTGCAATTATGAGCAAATCAAAATTTGAGAAGCAACCTTGTCAGTGGATACGATATAAGCGCAGTGAACAAGATTATGGCCTAGTTAGCTAATAACTAGAGGATACGAAGAAATACAAGTAAGTTCATCAAACGGTATGTAAGAACTAACAAGGGATCGAGGTCATGGTCATGGTTCCAGAGGAGAATATTAGTAAAGAAAACTCCTACAGCTGTAGCATTCTGTGATCTTGTAGGCTTATAAGGAAAGGACTTGCAGAAGAGGAGAAGCTAAAGAAACACACGAGAGAGAGAGAGCATACATTGTAACAGTAAAATGCTACATACTTACAATGGAATCTGCAGTGAAGTTAAAATATTGAAATATGATCGCCAACACCAAGAAGACTATTCCAACAACAATACCCAATGACTCCGGCCTGTAAGATGAGCAACAAGTTGTTTAGGAAAAAGAAGCAGAACAGTACCATGAAGCAACAGAAGCACATGGTAAATTGCCCAGGAAAAGATAGCAGCTGCTTAAGCAGCAGGGAGATGTCTAATATACAAAGATCATCTCGACTTGCTCAGCCTGCACAATCAAAGTGGAAGAGCCACAAAAGAAGCATCCCACAGAAAGAAGGGACCATAAATAGCATACAGCATTGCAAAATCAAAACTTGGAGAACGGATCACAAGGCATACGCGAAGGCAGTCGACTTCAGAATTCAACAACAATGGAAGTTTCAACAAAGGCCCCCCATTTCCCAAAATTTTGCCAACCTACCTCCAAAACTGTGATCAATAGAGAAACTGTAACATGCCCAACCAAAGACTACATGATAAAGAAGAAATCCACCATCGAAACACAAACTCTAACAGTCAAGAACAAAAACTCTAACAGTCAAGAACAATTGGGTAAGAAAACGGATTAGGACGTACACTTTGACCGTCCCTTGACGAGTGCCCTTCTTGTTGATATCATAACCAAACAGATTCCTCCTCAGCACGTATCTAGAGGCCACAGGGATCATCTTGACCGTGAGAAAGAAGCCCGCAAGGCTAAGCGCAGCATTGATGAGGATGGATTTTTGGAGCTCCTGCTGGATCTCGTAGTGGTAGAAGAAGAAATAGAAGTAGGGCGCTAAAAGAAAGAGGGAGAGCTTCAAGATAAACCCCAATTTCGGTGGCGCGATCGGCGGATCTGAAGCTTCCTTGGGTTTTTGCTCGGCCTTGTCGCCGTTGGAAACAGTGGCAGCAGCATTGGCAGGGGCCGCCGCGGGTGCTGAAGCTCTCTTGCGAGCTGCCATGGTTTTCCTAATCTCTCTCACAATTCTAAGTTTACCCAAATTGGAAATATGGAATTGGTCTGGGAGGGGTGATTAGAGACTGGAATGGCTCCTTCTGTGTTTGGGTTTACACGATGGGAGAAGGGATTGTGTAGACCGGAGGAGGCAGAGACGAGGGCTGTGTTTGCCGGAATCTTAGAAGCAGAGAAAAGAGGCTACATGCCGTTGTTAACTGAAGGGGACTGTGAAAGCCTCATCTCAAAACAGCGAAGGAAGGAGATAGATCGAACAGAGATGGGAGTTATTTGCGAGCAAATCTTAAGGAAGATGGAATTTTGGCAGAAGCGAGGGTTCAAGGAGGAACGCAATCTATCAGTTGGGTTACTTCGCCCACCTTGAAATACAATGGAGCCAAACTGTTGTATGGGAATATAGACCCCCAATTCTGTTTGCTTGATGTACTTGAAACTGATTTTAATTTATTTAAAAATAATAAACTATGTATTTTGCAAGGATTGAAATAACGTAATGTATTGGTGGTTCGACCAGAAAACTCTCATACCGAAAGCTAAATCGGTAGGCGGTATTTAACGGTATGAAACGGTTGAATCACGGTTTCAACCTAGAATACCCTATCGCTGACATTTTCCGGTACAACCTCGAGTACGGTATTTCAATCCTTGGTATTTTGCTAATACGGTACGGGAAAGTTACGTAAAAAATACGTACGGGTATTATGCTTCGTCTCTAGACTAAAGTTACGTTTAATAGTACGTAAATAGCCTTAAATATATAAAATTAATCATTTTGAAAATAAATATATAAATAATAGTAAAGTTAACGACTTAATTCGTAAAATACGGGTAATAAACGTGTTATATGGATTTTATACGTGTTTAGTACGAGAGCCATCAAATGAAAGGGGAAAAATGAAACGTCTTGACAATAATACGGATACGGAAGTTTTAAACGGATAAAATACGTACGGGTACATATACTTGTATTAAACGGAGTATTTACTAACTATGGTATTTTGTATCAAATAAATGTCTCAGCCACTAGATTCTTAAATGTGGTATCAAACAGTTCTTGGGCATCGAAACGGGCTAGGAATGGCAATTTGAACTCGTGTCACCGGGTATTATCCGACGTGATTCGTGATGGGGTGGGTATGACTCGACCCGCGGTAACGTAGGATGGACATGAGTATCTATTTTCGATCCATCTTGTTCCCCCAGGTTCTTGGCTCATTCTATCTCAATTTCATCAACAAGTTAGGTTTTATCTTTCAACTAGTTAGACTCAATTGGCTATTATATTATCACTATCAAAAAATTCCTTTATCTATCAAGATTCAAGAGACGTTATTTTTTTACTCTTCCTCCATACATTTAATTTAAGTAGGTTCTCGCTCTACATGTAGGTCTCGCTTAAGACGGTTGCTCTTGCTAATTACTAGAAACCAAGAATTGCAGGAGTAAAACCGGACTGCCATAACAAGTGAAATTCCCAGATCTAGAACCAGACGAGATATTCCAGCAAGAACCAATCTTTACTACCCCACATGCAGAAGCGAAAATATAACGTGAAAAAACAAATCCTCTAGTACAACTCTCATCCTACCATGTTCTAACATTCTCAGGCTATAGATTTTACATCAATCATTTCTAAATGGAATGCGTAAGTGACCGATCTCCAGCTAATGATTTGGTGCACCGTACAGTTGAACGGATTTTTTTGATGGAGCAGCAGAGTCTGCAAGCTTCGCATGGCTACTGTATTCGACTTCTAACCAAAACAGTGACTGGGATCTGCAGAGTACATTATGAAGAATGAGAATGTAACTAAACATTCATTATGAGGTAGCTGGCAAAATTAGGATATTCAAGAAAGAAGTTGCGATGTTACCCACCTTCTACTTTGGAGGAAGGACTTCTTCACAAGGACAGCAATTGAGATTTGTGATCAATACCGTTGAATATGAATGTGCCAGACATGGGAACGAACTGCTTTGTTATTAGCTGAAGTGGCAGAGAAGGAGAGAGATCAGACAAGATCGAGAAAGACCCAGGTGAAGTTCATAAACCATCACGACATCGTAGTAGAAAGTGATGGGTGTTTTTCGGACTAGAAATGCTGAAGGAGCAAGAAGACGAGGAACAAACCTTGATCACTTCTTGCGACGCAACACCGCCAACAAAAGCAGCAACAGTGTGGAGCTCTGAAGCTGCGTACCGCCACATTTCGCTAACAAGGTCATCGTTCAAGGGCGAGCCACTGCAACCCAAGTCGTTGAGTAGGGCCACTGCTGTGGACTTCAACCTAGCAATGTCCTCGTCGATTTCCCTACAAGAAGGCATCAGAGAGCTGATACAAAATTACTTTAAAACTTTTTTTCTGTTTGTTAAGCAAGCAAGGAATTGTTTAAACAAAGTCAAGCAGACATGTCTTACCCTTCAAAATGACCAGGAATGACTTTGTAGTTCGCAGCAAAGCGATCAGCTGCTCGAAGCAAGATGTAAAACCCCGCAGCAAAACTGGAAACAAAATTATGCAGGCAACATAGAGTTAAGATGATAGCAACTGGAGAAGCTGATGATGAATTCTTTGCACTAGGTAAGAAGTCTCATCTCTAAACTCAATTGACTTATGAACTCATTAGTCATTTGTTAGCTTTCAGCTTTCATAGTGATCTCACCTGTAGTCCGGACTGCTAAGGTACCTCTGCAACTCTGACAAAGAAGGGTTGCTAAACTCGTCCTCAACTAATCGATACCGGCAAACCTACAAATATAAATTAAAACCTCAAATCACAATGATAAATGGTAATAGCCACATCTACTAGAAACTAAGCAAGCGTGGAAAGGATGGACTTTTGCAATGAAGTAGTCCGAAAAACCAACTTACCTTCAGTTTCCTAGCATTTTTGCAGAAGCTTTTTATCACCGACTTCGGGATGCTATGTGGATCTTTACCGGTTTTCTTAAGAATATTTCTCACCTTCTCCTCAATAACAAGAAAATCTGCCTCGGCTTTCGCTTGGTAGATCTTCTGCAAGTTTACATAAATCCTGGTAGAAACCAAATCGAGAATGATCAGACTTCACAAAACATCAGCCACATTTGTTCAGTCTGAAAAGAGTCTGGAAACTGAAACAATATTATGGAACTAACTCTGTTGAAGACGTCATATCAGGTATTGAGCCCTCGAGAGGAGCCTCTCCCGCACCTTCGTGCACAATGAAGTCCTGGAAGTTTGATATATAAAAAGTTCCATCGTGAGAACAAAAACAAAGGAAGCAAGATTATTTCCCCAGTTAAAATAAACAAATATGTATATCTGAGAAAAGAAAGAATCCCAAAGATGATCGTACTTGGCACCCAAGGTAATGCAGATAAGCCGCTTGACCGGAAATTGGACTTCCAAGTTCCATTGGAACACCCACATTTTATTCTCAAGTATTATAGAGGATACACAATTAAGAGAAAGAACATGAAGAGTTTTTCACTTTAGAAAAACAGAACTATGGTTAATTACCACATACGAAGTTCTTGTTTATGCTAGAAAAAAGCCTTTTCTTATTAAGATGTCCCAAAGGCTTTATCTATCCAATAAGGAAATAGTTCCGATGCAAAATTTAAACCCCAAAATTAAAATATCAATTATTTTAAAGATAAAAACACGAAAAGAAAAGAACAAAACCCCCGTATTGTACGACAGAAGTGTGCATTAACTAGTCATATTAATGAACAATATCAAACAAGAGATCCGCACCTTTAGTGCAGCCACCATCACCCAAAAGTCAGATGAACTAGAATCAACTTCAGCACAGCCATCATTAATAATCTGCTGCAATTCTGCATCTAAAAAACCCAATAACACAGGATGCAAAGTGATTAGTCTCCAATTTAATGGAACTGGAAGACACCGACATATTATAAGGGAACAAATTCATTCATTTGATAACTAAGAAACCACTGGAGTCCATGATAATTTTCACGAGAGAATTGTTCTCGACTTTTGAACCTGAATATCAACTTCACTTACTAATTCCTCGAGGAGCAAACACTTTGAACGAGGCATCGACAGCTTCTTTGTAGTTATCCTCGTCCATTGACATCATCTTGGCTTTAAGAAGCTCCTGATGCAGCATTAAGATGACTAGAAGCATAACTAGACAGCAAAGGCCACAATAAAAAAAATGAAATAACACATTCAAGTGAAGTTTCTACCTTGAATTCCTTTTTCTCATCCCTTGTTGACGGAAGATTACCATCATGAGCTTTGGCCCATTCCTCAGCCATCTTCACAAGAATGACAACATAAGGTGTGTGCTTGTGGGCAACAGGATCTGCCGCATTCAACTCAATGGTTTCTGCAAAACTAGTGTAATTACAGCATGTCAGAGCACATACCCAATCGCAGCTATAGTCATGGTTCAGAAATGAAACTACAGATTTTATAACCCAATACAGGACAAAAATGCATCTGGGAGATACCTCTTAAGCTCAGGCCACGGGTTATTCAACCTAAGGTCGTCAAGAAAATGATCAGGCTTTGACTCAATGACCACATGTTCCTGCCAAAACAACAAAAAGTTTTTTAAGCACCCCTTGGATGTGTATAAATATGCAAAATCAATCACATCCTAAATTTCTCTACATATGGTCTTCAAAACTTACTAACTTCTAATTTCATATTTTCTTGAACTGGCAAATATGATTTATGAGATAAGAATGGATGAGGGAAGAGTAAATGTCAAGAAGAAATACCTTCACACTGATTCTAACAAACCCTGCAAGTCCATAAGAACGCGCAAATAGCAACATAACATTTGCCTCCCTACAGATTCTATCCAGCTTAATCATTGAGTCCTCAGCGAGCTGCCATACAATGTCAAGGAATTGGCGTAAGAGCAGACACAGAAATAGCATGATGTCCATGAAATCAACTTCCTGATAACATTGGTATTCTCGATAAAACAAGGGGAACGGAAAGTCAATCAAGAATTATACATGTGACAGTTTATTAACAGATGGATGCAAGGAGGGGAGGACAATGAGATAAGCCAGATGTAAAGGAGAAAGAGCATTTCAGCCCAGGGAAAAGTAGAGCAGATGGATGAACGTGGGAAAAGCAAGAATTGGCAGCATGGATCTAAAATCACGGCAACTGTCCACAGAAAAGCCCATGGCAATATTAATCATAACCTGAACCAGGATTCTCTCAGAAAGCCACAAGCAATGTTTGCAAGCGTAGATTGCTTCACAAGCTAAAGAAACCTTACGTACCTGTGTGGCTACTACCAAAGTGAACTGAGAAAAGAATGAGGGATTTGTCTCAATCAGAGCCTCCGGACACTCTTCTATGAACTTAGCTTTGACTGCATCATTTAGTTCTTGAAGGAACGCACACACAGTTTTCGCCTTCGATTGTCCAACACTCGATTCATCAACTACCAAAATCAGAATAAAACAACTCAGTAAGCTATCAGAAACCCATGACAGATTGTCAAATCAAATTTTGAAGCACGAACTTACCCATGAAATTGTTCCCAAGGTCACCAACTTCCACTTTCGATCCATCAACCACTGTGATCGATCCAACTCCACCGAGAACAAGGTTCTTCAATGTCTCTGAGCCGGTAGGACCACAATTAAGCAGGCATATGCTGGATTTCTCCAAGGCGGCCTGTCCTTGTTCCCCCCATATCCTTAAAATAGCAAAAAAAACAGCAGCTTTAGGAGGATAACGGAAAACGAAAAAAGCTTAAACATTTCGAATGCTCCCTGAACCAGCACGTAGTTTTAACAAGCTTGAAATTGTCCACAAACTAGTAAGCAGTTATTAGCAGCATGGATGATCCCAATCAACCCCCTGATTAATGATGGTTATCCCGCACAAGGTAATTCTCTGATCTTCTTTCTTTCCACTAATTCCTGATGGGATTATTGCATCTTAATATAACGAAAACAATGGCAAGAACTGGCGAAGTACTTCTTGTGGGTGGGGGGTCTCTATCTTCATATTGGACCTCTTCCTCCATAGCTACAAATTAACCCATAATTGAATTTCGGCAGTCTTCCTCATCCTTTACAATTAGATACCCATTAGCTAGAAAAACCTCCCAACCCTTGACAAAAATTTCAAAATACCCAACCAATCAAATAACTCATCGGTGTGCATTAAAGCAAACGATGTTTCAGAGCGAGATGAAACGGAGCTCTAGGGCAAGAGAGAGCAAGCAGAGGTAGTCGGACAAAAAGAAAGCTCAGCTGGGAAGGCCGTGAAAGAAGTAGTGGAATAAGAAGGTACCTGAGTTGGCGATCGTATTTTACTTTCGGTTCCGCCATTGTTGGTGGATGTGAGTGCTTTTCCTGTTACTGGGTACCAAAGCTTCGCTCACTCGCTTGGCAGCTACGCAGTACGAGTTTGGGGAAGGAGACCAGCTAGTCCAGGCGCCTTTTGAAACAGAGAATTTATTCCGCTTTCCCCTCCCCCGACGAAGTCCGTTTCCTCGTAGTTATCGGTATGGGCCCAGTTAAGATAGTAGGCGCAAGTTATGGGCTAAAAGCCCATACCTCTCCTATTTTAATCCCTTTTGTTTGGCAAACTACCTTATAGTTTACTAGATTTGTGCCCGGCCCCATGGCCGGGGTGTGTTTCATTTGGTTATTATATCAATTAATTTTTTATTTCTATGCTTAAATGCAAGTTCATAAAAGTTTGATCTTTTGGATCAATCAATACTTAATTTATAACTTTTCCGTTGAACATAATCGGTATATTTTAACTAATCAAAATACTAAACTCATGATCGATGCGTATTAGATATTGATTAATTTGGTCATAAACATACACAATGTGACAGTTTGATCCTATTGTAGTTTTTGTAAAAGCGGTTTCTAACATAAACTTTTATTTTCAAAAACAGTTGAATAGTGTTGATTAATAAACTATTAGAAGTGTTGTTTAATATTAGACGAAATTCACAATATTAGACAAAATGTGAATTTCGATTACAAAGTATAAATCAAACTATAATTGAATAAAGTAAAATGAATCTTTTTTATATCAAATTATGGTTTTTATAATTTATTTTACTTTTAAAATAATGTAGATGAAAGCAACTCCAAACCACAGATCTTGCTTTATGTTATAAAAAATAATTATAATTTTTTATAAAATGTCTTTCTTATAGAAGTGTTTGATATGACATAATTTTGTGAAGGATAAAAGCATTTCCAAATTCAACCCGAACATAGACAATAGACAATGTATAATAAACAACAACTCTTTCTTTGGATTAATACTAATAAAAATGTATATATTTATTATCGTATATCATAAGAATTGTGAGTTTCGGGTGCATATACACATTATACATTATTAAGAATAATGAGTATGAAGAAGTTTAATTTAAATGGATTAGATTATGTATAGTCTAATACTTAGTTTAATTTAAATGGATTAGATTATGTATAGTATAATACTTTTCTATTAATAGACCCTAATCTAATGAAATGGATTTGGCTAAATTGAATGTCCTTGGGAAAAAACTTTGGTGAAAGAAACTACATCCAACTTTAAAAAAAAAAAGTAAGAAACATTAATAAAAAGCGCATAAAAAAATAGGGTGGAGGATTATATTGGCGGAAAAACCGACCACCACAGAGCTCAATTTAAAAAAAAACACGGTTACAACCCATTAAAGCCTATGTTTGGCCCGGCTTTTAGAAGTGCTTTTCGGCTTCAAAAGCTTAAGCAGGGCCAAACACCTCTAAAAGCTCGGCTTTTGAAAAGCCGAAAAGCGCTTTTGTATAACATAAAAGCAGAAGCTCCGATTTGGAGCTTCTGCGAAAAGCTGTTTTGAAAATACAAGATTATCCTTACCATATTTTAATTTTATTTCAGAAAATATAATTTTCCTTCATTTATATCATTTTAAAAATAAAATAAATTATAAAATCATATTATTTAATATAAAAGAAATCTAACAAGATCCATTTTGACTACTTTTTATTGTTTCGAATTTTTATTTATATTTTATATTATAAGTCCTTTATAGTCATTTTACACAACCGCTCATATTAAAAAGCACTTCTAATAGTTTTACAGCCAAACACTAAACTGCTTTTTTTGAAAAGTACTTATCTAAAAGCTCCAGCCAGAAGCTGCTTCTGCAAAAGCTACAGCAGGGCCAAACTAAGCTAAAAATAATAAAAAAATAGAAATCCCGAAATTATGCGTTGGTCTCCAAAGCTTACGTGGCATAGGCGCTAATCTTAAAGCGCTTTAATATATTTAAAGATACGATACTAGCCTGATGCCCCCGACCCATTGACCAGTTGGTGAGTGGTTGGTTTGGTTAATTTCTCTATTGTTTAGTAGATTTTTTTTTTGTCATAGAAATCCTTGCGGATTATCCAGATAAGCGTGTGGGAACACAACAATTACGGCCCCTACACGGACTCAAAGACAGACCATGTACGAATAATCATATAAGACATTACAAATTCCAGGATAGCGTAGGGGATTACGCGCCACACAATGGGCAGCCCGATTCGCTTCTCGAGGCATAAATTCATAACGAACTAAAGGAAGAAAATCGAGTAGATCCAGCACTTCACGGTAAATTGCGCCACAATGAGCATCATGAGGATCGTGGTGCCTCAACCTCTCCACCATCACTTGCGCATCGCTGGTAACCAGAACTGGACGATCATGCCATCCCCAACGGCAAAGTAATAGCAAAGCGTACCGTTCCGCCAAAAGTTCAACAGTAGTGACAACCAGCATTCTCGGGAGCGAACACCCAAAACCAAAAGATGTCTGACCTTCAATAAACCCAACCAAACCCACCGCAGCATGAGTTGGGCTGCACATAGCGCCATCCACTGCAATCCAAATCGGGATTGGGAAACTGTAGCACGGAGAGGCCGCTGAGAGGGTGCCGGAGCTACTTGAAGGGGCTGAACCGCTATGTGATGATCGGCAAGGTGTGACTGAAATTGACGGAGCAGGCTGGAGACGGTAAACTGGGCATGGGGGAGGAAGACAACATTATTACGAATTGTTTAGTAGATTTTGTACTTAAGGAAACAAAGATAAAAAAGTTCACAATATAGGTAATAGGTATCGCCCAAAAGCGAAAATCAAATTTCACAATAGTACGAAACAATGAATGGGGATTTTTAGCATAAAATTGTTCACCTCATTGTTTTGTCTACCAACACATTGTATCGAGAACATGAATGGAGAAGCAAAGGGGCTTTTGGACATGAATAGATATGTAGAGATGAAATCATGAAACTTGGAATTTTGGTGGTGATATGGTCTTTATGTTATGATTAGGGAATTTAAAGGTGATTTGAGCATGAATGGAGAAGCAAAGGGATGGACTTGTAGAGAAGAGGTGCCAAGTTTCGGTTTGGGTAACAATTCGATCTACGATGATCGGAGGAGAAGGGGAATATGAGAGAAACGGGATGGGGTCGGATTCATTTCAGGTCTATGTAATATTATTAATATATTTCTTTAATTTTGTCATGTCGGATTCCATGTCATCATTGATCGGGCCCATGGTCAAATTATAACGGAAGAATTAACAAACACTAATGTCGTAACACAAATGGCATATTGAAAGTTTTGTAACACAAATGACAAAATCACTAAAGATTGGAGCCATCCATGTATCAATCAAGGGGTTCTTTGGAATATTTCCTCCTCGCCAGCATCTCTGATAACGAAATGGAGGAACCAGTTTGCAATTGGGTAACCCCCTTTGGGGAGTGGGATTGGAGTAGGCTGAATGGTTTGCTCCCTAATAAGATTTTGCCACTTCTTGCGGGTATTGAAACCCCAAAGCAACATCTAGGAGAAGATACTACAATTTGGGGTATTGAACCAGATGGGCGATTCCTCTTGAAGTCAGCCTACAAGTTGGTGGCCAACGAGTTGGACATGCCGGTTAACGAGAAGTGGAGGCAGTTTTGGAGATGGAAGGGGCATAATAGAATCAAACATTTCCTATGGATGACTCTACATGATCGTCTGTTGACAAACCAGGAGAGACTACAAAGACCGATGATGGCAATTGCAAACACTGCAATGGATGCGAGGAAACGAATGAACACATCATTAGGAACTGCAAGATAACGAAGGAGATGTGGAGAAGATTAAGACATTCAGTTGCATACTAGAATCAGGATACCAACTTCAAGGACTAGCTAATAAAAAATACTAAAGATGAGGGGTGTTCAAACGGTGAGGTTACCGTTGTAACTATTTTAACCGGTAGTATTTGGATAATTTGGTTTGGTTAATTTGGATAATTGGGTTAGTTAAAAAAAATTAGCTTTTTTTGGTTTAGGTGGTTTGGTTTGGTTTCAGACACTCCTAACCGATCAAACCAAATTAACTAGTTAAGTAATTAGTTATATATCTAATATATTATAGGTAATGCACATACTTAATACTTTGTATAACCACTCAAGAGTCAAATGTAAGATAATTGTATTAGTTGCATATATTTTATATTAAGGGTTAACCATAATGTTATGTTGATTGTTATGTGTTATTCATTATATAGATTGCAAATTGATACACTAACCATAAAATTTTCTCACTTGATGATAATGTAATTGTATATTGGTTAACCAATTAGCCAAATCGATTAAACTTTAGTTTGACTAATTTGGTTGTATTATTAGTTTGGACGATTTAATATGATATTGTATTCCATGATCAATAGAATTTAGACTTTTTTGGTTTGGTAATTACCATGGTAACCATTTGAACACCGCTAAAAGATGGAGATAGAGGTGTGGACATTAGCATCATTCTTTGGCATATATGGAAGCAGAGGAATGAGTAAGTTATGGAGGGCAAGCAGTACAATGAACAAAGCATGCTCCACAAGATCCCGACCTTCTTCAACATTATGAGGAATGCCCAATTGTTCGACAAGAAAATTGATACGGTCCAACAAAGGACGAAGGAGGAGCCTTGCAGGTTGGGATAGACACCACTACGAGAAGGATGAGTGAAAATAAGAACTGATGGTTCAATGATCACAGGGGGTTAAGGTGGCAGCGGGAGGGCCGATCAGAGACCACACAGGGAGATGTCATAAAGCATTCTCCATCAACCTTGGTACTTGCTCAATCACTAGAGAGGAGCTGAAAGCTGTTGAAGTTGGACTTGCGATGACTTGCGAGCTTGGTTACAGAAAGGTCTGTCTCTGTACAGACTCAACCACTACCATAAGTGTTATTGAGAATAGGCAGGAAACAAATCACAAACCTGGGAACATTTCGTTGGCGATTAACCGTCTTCTGGAGCTTGATTGGAATGTCTCAAACTCTCAATATCTCATATTTTTAGTTTTTGGGAATGTAATTTTGCGGCTGATTTCCTTGCTAGTAAGAGACATAACCTTGATTTTGGCACTGACACACATCTTATCGATGAGTGCAATCCAACACTTAACTACTGGATTATGTATGATGTTATGAGAATTATCCATAAGCGTTTAATCGTTAATACGAGCTAAGGCGTCTTTGGTGTATGTCTTCTAAAAAAAATTAATGGATGAGTTTGAATTTATCCTCATTCAACCCGTGGCTCATTGATTGGATGGTTAAAAATGATCAAAACAATCCCAACCGAACTAGTACACTGTCAAGAACCAGTTGGTCCCAATAACTCGAGTTGTTGGGAGAGGTTCAATCGTGGATCATATACCACAACACTAACACGCCCCCTCAAACGAAAGCCACTCACAAGGGCTTGAAGTTTGCATATGTCTGAAGACAAGAATACCATGTGCTTAACAAATGGGGGTCACCGGGAATCGAACACAAGACCTCTCAGTCACAGAAGGCTCTGCTACCATGTCAAGAACCAGTTGGTCCCAATAACTCGAGTTGTTGAGAGAGGTTATATCAAGAACCAATTGGTCCAATAACTCGAGTTGTTGAGAAAGTTTCAATCGTGGATCATATACTACAACACTAATATACACTCCCTAATTATTGGAGGCTTGTGCTGGGCATCCAATGTTTGCAGGAGTTCAAATGTTCAATAACCATTCCTTTTCCCAACACCCAATCAATAGCCTGATGACCCTTTGAATTGTCACACTCTGCAATGACACCAAGAAGCCGACATTTGATTAGACCTTCTCCCCACTCTCTCTCTTTAGTCTTCACTCACACTTCACACTTCACACTTCACACCCACTCATTGACCGTTCAGTTCCCCCTCAAAAGTACTGTAGAAGAAGAAGAAAAGCAGAGCATTGCAGCCGGAATCCCGATCGTCGGCGACCCTTCCTCCTGCATCTCATGGCTTTCTTCAGAGTAATGCTTCCACGCGCAATCCAAGACAAGAAGCTGGTAAACAAACTAACAACCCTTCTTCTTCCCCTTTCTTGTTTCTTAACCCAAACGTCCCAGAAATCGTACACATTCACTGACTGGTTGATTTCAGAAACTGCCTGTGAAATTCGCCAGACTGCACGGCGGGAAGCTGGCGGAAAGGGCTCGACTTTCCTTGCCCAACGGTCGTAACTGGGACGTGGGCGTCGTCAAAGGACCCGAAGAAGGCCAATTTTGGTTCGAGAATGGCTGGTCCCTTTTCGTCGAACAGAACTCTGTTAAGGAGTACTGGTTCCTAGCATTCGAGCATACAGGGCCGTCCAGCTTCAAAGTTCGGATCTTTGACCTCACCACCTGTGAAATCGACTACCCATCTGCCGGATTTGTCAATGACGTCGAAGAAGAAGACGACTCCTCTGTTCAAATTCTTGAATCGCCGCCTCCAAATCCCACACCCAAGCAAAATCCCGAATCCGACTCTGTTCAGCCACGCAAGAAGATTAAGAACAGCAACAATGCCACTACTTCTCGTAACTTGAGCAAACCTTATGATTCCGGTAACGAAAATTTTTTTTATTCAAAGGAGAAATAAGCAGCTAGATTTCTTACTAGTCCTCCCAATCTCACGTTTCAGTCGACTCTGCAGATGGTGACGAGGAGGAAGATGACGAAGCAGGGGATGGAGAGTTGGGTGAAACGCTGGTGAAGGAACTGAAACGGAGGCGGATCTTTGTTAACTCAAAGCTTTCCAAGGAACTACCCAAATTGTCGATTCAAAACCAGAGGGCAGTGGAAGAAGCCATTGCGATGAAGCGTGGCAACGAACCGTCTTTCCTTGTAATGATACAGAGGCACAACAGGAAGCCGCAACCTCGGCTGGTAAAAAAGGATGCGCTCCTACTCTGATTATTATAGTGTTGGGTTTTTTTTGTTGTTGTGTGAGTCATTATTGTAATGAAATCGTGCTTGGCAATGGCGCAGATTCCACCGCTTGCGTTTGTTAACGAGCACCAGCAAATGGAGAATGCTGAATCTGTGAGGCTGAAACTTGCGATGGGAGGCAATGACGCAAAGTGGGATGTCGACGTGATCAGATACTCTGCTAAAGGACCGTGCCTTTACGGTAAAGGATTTAGTAAGTTTTACAAAGAGAACGACCTCAAACTTGGGGATGTTTGCTTGTTTGAGATGTTATTATCTGAGGGTAATGTTGTGTTCCAAGTTTCCATCGCTAGAGTGCTAAAGAAAGGCTTCCCTTCTTTGGAGGAGGTGATCTGCCTTGATGATTGAAGATGATGCCATGGCCAAGTTTAGGGGTTCTTGTTCCATTCTGCGTTTGTTTGAGTAGTAAGGTGGGGGTGAGATTGGGGAACTTTGGAAGGTGATTAGTTGGAACTTTTTGGGATTTTAGGTAGGTTGTAAGCAAGGCAATGTGGCTTGTTAGGTTGTAACTTGGTGGAATATGTCCTTTATTAATTGTCAGCCTGAGTGATTAGTGCTATTTGTGTAAGAATTAAGGGTGTTTGGTTTTGGTGAATGTTTGGTTGTGATAATTATAATGTATGTATTGTCCATAATGCATTGTTTTTTTGAATTTTCTGCAAAAACAATACATGCATTGTTAGCTTGATGTGATGGAAACTATCACTCAAAATGAGTGATAGTACTATTTCTACTAAAACTTGAGATTGTTGATATAGTTTTGTGGAGATTGTTGGGTTCATTTTTTTGTTCCAAGTATACCCCTAATTATATATATTCTCATAAAAGTAAGGGCAAAAGTGATTTTTTCACAAAAAGTAATATAACATGTTGAATACTAAAAGATATATCACCAAAACCATACAATATAAAGTACATTACATCATTTTCCTAAATTACTAAGGGGTCGTTTGGTTTTGGTGATACTTAAATCAATGCATTGTGGTCAATGCATGCATTGTAATCGTTTGGAAGTTGCGAATGTTAAATCGTTGTATTGTAATGAATCACTACAATATAAATACATGCATTGATACAATAAATGCATTTTGACAATACATTGTTTGGTTGTTGAGATTCTAGTTTATGTATTGATTTGCATAAAGTCACTTTATAGAGAAATGTCACATTTACCCTCACCTTTTAGTATAAAACAAAAAATATTGGGGATATATATGGAAAGAAAAAGTGGACACAAATCTAAAAGGACAATCACAACAATCTCAACTTTTAGTTGAGATTGTATAATGCATCATTTTTTGTGATTGTTGGTGGGGCCTACACAAAACAATACATGCATTGTTTTACAACTTGACACTTCCAAACATTGTATTGTGCTTAATACATTTATTTAACAAACACAACTCTAACAATCACAACTTCCAAACGACCTCTTATAAGTAACTTGAATGAGGAATTCTAACCGATCAATTTGGTCTAACTGTTTAGTTTTGAGAGAATATGGTCAAATTGACCCGTTTGACAACCTAAAATTTAGATGAAACATTTTTGTATGGAGAATTTCAAATTGACTCGTATAGAGATAATTACAATTATCTGAATAGGACCGACAATTTGAATTGAATCGTTTTAAATAATTCGTTTTGTAAAATTAGAAAATTGATTAAATTGTCTCGACATTCAAAGAACCGGTTCATATCCTCATGGATGAATCCTGCAACTGCTCTCTATGCTGGACCTAAAATCCAAGATGGAAAGAAAGCTGAAAAGAACGAGAAACAGCCCAAATTATGAAAGCTTGAGGCCCACGACCAATCAAAAGATCATCATGCCTGGCAATGGCATTGCCAGAACGAGAAGAGCATTTGGGTTTTGACAACCGACTGCCCCAAACCAAATCCCGATTCAGGCATTCAGCGAGAAAACTTTTCCCCCCCTTCATTCCTTTCTTGTCAATACATCTCAATAGTTTTCATTTGGTAAGATACGGGCTCGACATGGTTTGGACTGAACTTTTGTGCACCACTACATCAGACCAATTTTGCATCAATCATATAGCCTCACCGTTCCTCAGATGATCATTTCTACTTGGCCAGAAACGCAAAGACAAATTGAGCTTGAGATCCGAGTGAGAAAGCACTAGCAAAAGCAAACCCTTTTCCTTTTCTCTACCTGTCTACCATCACATAAAAATAGCTTCCCTTTTTGACCTTCGGGAAGATAAGAAAGCTTTCATCTTTACAACCAACAGTATCACTTTGCTCCTGGACATTCATTCTTTGCATTGAAAGATAAGTTCAGTACATATGCATCCCTAGTTATTCATTCTACAGTGGTGGCCATCATATCATCATCATCATCTTAAACTAGATTATGTAGCTAGTGCTTCGACCCGGACTTACTTGAAGCCCTCGATAATGGCGACAGGACTATCACCACCTCTGATGGTGTTAAGTTGCTCATACTGCTGCAGACTCCGGGTGGACTTCCCAGCTGATTTCAGGCAAAGACAACCAGTGACCAACATGATTCCGCAAAGTATCCAGCTGAACTGCAAGTTTGCAAGAGCTCTAGCCCTATGATCTGCGTAAGAAGATTCACAGGTGACTGCTCCATGAATTACGGAACCGCTGTTCCCACCCGAAAGCATCGTATTCACTGAGCATCCCTGAGGAACAAACTGAGGAAGCCACAGCATACACCCCATGTTCATAAACCAACATCCCTGGAATACTACTGAAACTGAGAGACCAAGGGCTGCTGGGAAGCTGGTTGGGAGAAAAGTGGCAGCTAAGGCCGATAGGAGAGAGGTGAATATTATAAGCTGAAGGAGCCAGTGGTAATGGCCCTCTAGACCGACATGGTCAGCTGAGTGGAAATGAAGGAGGAAAAGCTCTTGGCTGAAGAGGGAAGTGGCGAGTATCCCAGTGAAACTTGACAGGATGTGAGATGATCCAGTTATCTCTGTGCAAAGGGTGAAACCTGCAAAGATGGCAAGGTGAAGGAACATGGCTGCATGTTCCAAGTTGACAAGCTCGAAGGAGAAGCGAAAGAGAGGGAAATCGAATATTTGGTCCAAAACTGAGAATATACAGAAGGATAGAATGAGGATAGGCTCCACGTATTTGAGCATGGAAAAAGGACAATAAAATGGGTGCCAAAACTTGACGATGAAGTTTGTAGAGGTCTTGTTGTTGTAGTAGGACCTGGTAGTGTTGATGGTGTGCCATAAGCCAAGAAGAGTTAAAGCCAAACCAGGCACGATGTGGGCTATGAAATTCCCCATGGCAGCTTCAGTTATAGCATACCAGGACTCAATTACCTATAAATATACCAGCAAGTGAGTGAGTAAAGCGACAGAATGTAGTGTAAAATGCATGTGTACTCCACCAACCCATACTGTACGAAAGGGACATCTGTGCAACAATGACAAATCATAAAGCAGTTACCATTGTGAGTAAGAACCAGAAAGTATGTACCATTCATTTTAAGGTTCTATTTACCCAGAAATCCATTACATTATATCAACGATTCATGGAAAAATAAGTGAGATAGCATACCTTATCTGCTAAAGCTTTTATCCACAAAGCAGAAAAAGCAGCAAAGTCCTCTCTCAATTTAAGGCAAGTGTTGATTGCCTCTTTTCTATTAAACATGAGCTTTTGAAAAAGCATGCACGGCTCTTCATGTGGCTTTGAGGCCAAGGAGAACCCTCAAGGGTTAATGATGTGTCTGGCTTTGTCCAATTATATGCTGCCTGCAGCAATCTTAAGTCAACAATCATGCAATTACCACCAAGAGGGTAAGATTCCTGATATATACCAATTACCAAAGATTTGTGGCTTATAGAGAAAAGGATGGACTTTGGTGTTTGAGTCGAGATCCACTTTCTTGGTGCTAAAGGTAATGCTACAGGCAAAAGGAGAATGAACCTTGAACACGTCAAATTAGAAATTTGTGGGACTAAAAGCATTATAAGGGTTCATGCATTATTGAGCCAGATATGAAATTGTGCATACAGTGGAATTGCATTTCCACTCTTTTCATCATCTCAAATACCTTGTAGAAGACTGAGCTCTACTCAGCATATGCAAAGCAATGTGCGCTGCTATGCAAGACAGCATCCAAGGAACTTTGAGGATTACGGACCATCAATTGGTCTATTGATGTCCCCTGCTGCTATCTGCCTTTCCCCTAGCAAGGAGCACTGAGAACTGGTTAGAAAACCAGTGTGCTACAGTGTCCCATTTTCCTGTAATGAAACTGGTCCTGCAGTCTTACTGCTCAAGAATTCATCAACATTCCCAATCCCTTCAATTAGAGAAAAGTATGTGCTATCATCAGGTGCAATGCCTCTGCTAACCATTTCTCTAAGGAGCTCTTCAGCAAGATCCCCTTCTTGGTTTTTGCACAAACCTTGAATCAGAGCATTATAAGTGAGGCGTGTAGGGTTGAATCCTATACTCAACATCTCATCCCGAACTCTAAATGCATCCTTCATGTCACCTCTTTTACTATAACCACTAATTAGAGTGTTGTAACTTATGTGATCAGGTTTAATACCTCTACTCTTCATCTCATTGATAAGAACACGAGCCTCTTCAATTTTCCCCTCCCGGCAACGGCCTTGCATAAGGGTATTGTAAGTCACTTCATCAGGCAAACAATTCATTTTGTCCATCTCTTTCAACAATGCAAATCCCCGTTCCATATTCCCATTTGCACAGTGACCATCAATCAATGCATTGAACATTATACGGTCAGGCAGAATGCCCTTCTTCACAATTTCTCCAAACAAATTGTCAGCTTCCACCATCCTCTTACGTTTACTCAGAACATAAATGAGAGACGTATACGTTACACGTGTTGGCTGAATTCCTGCACTCAGCATTTCATCATGTAGGTTGAATGCCATTTTAGCATTCATGCATCTGGAATACCCGTTGATTAGGATGTTATAGGTTATAGAATCAGGAACAATACCCCTAGCCCTCATGTCCTTTACCATCTGATCAGCTTCGTCCATTTTGGCTTCAATAAGTAGAGCATGAATGAGCAGATTGTAAGTTGACACAGTTGGCAAAATACCGTTTCCAATCATCTCATCCTTGTAGCGAAAAGCCATCTCCAAATTGCCTTTATTGCAATATCCATCAATCAAGATGTTGTATGTCACAGCATTTGGAAGCAACCCAGTTTCTTTCATTTTCTCAAGCAATTGAGAAGCACCTTCAAGTTTCCCTTCCTTGCACATCCCAGTAATAAGTGAACCATAGGTGTAGGGATCAGGTTCAACCCCTTTACGTTTCATTAGATCCACAACCAAAAGAGCGGCTTCAAATCTCCCCCTTGTGCAGTACCCATGAATCAGTGTGTTATAGGTAACAGCGGTAGGCCTAATTCCCAAACTATCCATCAAAGGAATGAACTCCTTCGCCTGCTTCAGTTTCCCTTCCTTGCACAACACATTAATCATGATGTTAAATGTGTACACACTGGATTTGATCTTCAACCTAAACATCTCCGCATATAGAACCCATGCCTTGTCTGTCCGATTCAACTTCAGAAACAGACTCAACATTACATTACAAGTCTCAACCGTGGGAACCACACCCTTATCCTTCATCTTATCAAAACACTCAAAAGCATCATCACCCCTCTTCAATTCGCAACAAGCCCTGATCAACAAATCAAAAATTAAAGTACTTTCACTGCCCAACTTATCCCGCGCAACCACCAACTCAGTGAAAGCTTCACCTACGCTACCCACTCTACTTGTAATGGTTTGTTTTAGCAATTGCAAAGTGGGCTTCGGAGAGGGGGACCTAGAGACCACAGCCACAGCCAAGCATTTGGTTTTCAAATCAAGAGATTCAAACTCAACCGAAGTAACGAACCGGAAAGCTGAATCAGGAGATTTCTGAAGTGCAAGGAGAGTGGAGGAAATCACAGAGGCTGTCAAGTTGGGGGCCAGGTGCTTGACGGAATGCCACAGTGAAGATTGAATCAAGTCGAGGATTTCACCCTCCTTCCCCGAGCGAGGCGGTTCTGGTGGACTGCTTCGTGACTGGACTTCCGCCGCGGTAGAGAAACAGCGACGGGAAACCAGCGAGTTCTGACTGGCGACAATAATGGTGGTTTTGACGCCATTGAGCTTCGACAATCCACAACTGACGATTCTGATCGGCTTCATATTGCCGAAACAACAACAGCAGGAATCGGGCGGTCGCCAAATTTTAGCTGCAGAGAGAACAAGTGAAGCGTTTGAGAATACAGACAGTAGCAGTGGTTCTGGGAAGAGGATGGAAAGAGAAAAGAAAACACATATGGATTATTGAGCCCAGAGGCCCACAGAAATTTAATTACGGGCCCAAAATAACTTTCCTTTTCTCCTTCGACATTGATCAGATTGCTCTCGACGCGAAACCCTAATTAAAAAGCAAACTAGACAGGCAGAGAAAGAAGAGCGAAACCTCCGCCGTCGCCAATCTTCCCCCGATTCTTCCGTTTCTTCAACCGCCGGATTAGCGACCGGGGTTAAAAGAAAGTAGAAGCGTCGCCGGCAGAGAGCGATGTCATACGACGACGTGGAGATAGAAGACATGGAGTGGAACGAGGAGCTCCAATCGTTCACGTATCCGTGCCCGTGCGGCGATCTGTTCCAGATAACGAAGGAGGATCTCCGGATCGGTGAAGAAATCGCTCGGTGTCCGAGCTGCTCCCTCTACATCACTGTCATATACAACCCAGAAGATTTCGACGAGGACAAGTCGAAGGGGAAGAAGCAAGGCAATATCATCCAGCAGCCGCAGCAGCAGATTCCTGTTGCTTGAATTGAATTTTCGCGGCAATATTTTAGGCTGTAGAATTTTGCTGTTTGGTCTTGGCGCCAGATTTTGTATGAATATCAACGAATTTTTGGCTTAATGGCTGTAGTATCAGTTCCCATGGGAGACGTTTGATTTTTTTATGAATGAGGATTGAGCTTTGAGTCGCGCCATATCCTCCATAATCCATATTCTCCTCGTTCATATAGTTGCTTCTTGAATCTTTGCAATTGCATAAGAAATGGACAGTCTTCGCCAAGCTTCACGAACCTTTTTTTTGTCAAAGATATTCCCATGTGTATTTGTGTGGTAATTGGCTCCAAATAAAAAGTTTTCGAAATTATCAATCCAAACGATCATCGGCATCAAGCTTTCTCTTATACGAAACAGTAAATACTCTCAAACCGGCTTATATCGATGTATCGATTTATCAAGTAGTAAGATTTGACTTGTTGGATAATTGGTTTGTGTTAAAATATAAAAACATGAAAGACCCTTTATGAATTTAACCATATATAAAACATATCTAAAAACAATTTACTTACCATCTATATTCATATTTAAATATAGTATTTAACGTCAACATGGGTTGGATGTTCCCAAAACTTTGTTCACTTTTGCAGTTAAAAAAAAAGCGTCAACATCCAAACTTTTATACTTAAATCCAACAAATAACATCCATATTTAAGTTTTAAATTAATAAAATAAATCAAAATTTAAGTTTATTAATAATTAAATTCACTAAAAGGATGTCGTCAAAAATTGATCATGCGGGTCAGAGATGGATTTGGACATTGGATGCTCACTTTATGGCCAAAACAAGCAGATTTGGCAGTGAAGCATACTCAATTTTGATCGAGGTCCAAAAAGAGTTCTATAAGTCATATCACACCCATATTTGGAGGAGAGATTGCTTGTGTGCCAAACAATCCATTGCACAAAGAAAAAATGTGGCGACCCAGTAACGGGTCCGACCTCCACCCAAGCCCAAGCTCAAGAAACTTCCTCTTCAAGGTTACTTCGTCCACGAGTCGAAGGAATACAATTTCAAGTCGTACATGGAAGGTTTTAGCCATTTTTAGAGGAAAAATCTAAGAAAGCCCCCTTCTGTAACTAGTATAAATAGCGGCCTAGGGTAGACTTCATACTACACCTTTTACGAGCACTCTGCCTTAGGGGCACGAGTTAGGAATCCTAGAGAAGAGGGAAAACCCTGTTGGAGTTTGACGACGATGATTCACCATCGATGTTCTTCATCTTCGGTGATGTATTCCTATTCTCCTATACTTTTCCAGTTTGATTTGTTTAACGATGTGAATTCGATAATGTTTATGTATCTTTTGATGAATCAATGAAGATTCTATTTCGTTTTATGCTTATGATCTTCAATAGTTGTTACCTTACATGCTTTATTGAATGCATGCTTGAATCATCTATTGTTTATAATCATTGATGCTTTTATATCATATGATGTTTTGTTTGTTCTATGTGCATGAATCTATGATATGTTACTCTATGCACTATGCTTAGTATCATCTACGCTGCTAAGAACACTACCCTCTAGGGATACCCCATCGATGCTAGACTTGTATGAGAGGATTAGCTACCCATCCATGCATCAACTAGCATCAATGCTTGATTGTTAGATCATCGATGCTATAGACTATGAGTTATGCCTAAGAGGTCTGTAACATCTTTATCCTTTTAACCAAAAATACAAAGCAAATGCTTCGGAGCAGAGTAAAATTTTCTTAAAGATAAAAACAAGGTAAACAAAAGAAAATTGAACCATTTCTTATAACTCAAATATAAAGCCCTAAGCAGTTGGGCAACTTTAATCCATACATCTTAAAACACAAACTTTGAATCTCCAGTTTATACTCAGAATCATGAAACGAAAACAACTAAACAGTTTCAACTACAACTCCCTTTTGTGATCCTTTCTGGGACATCTTCACGGATGATGTTGCTGTTAGTCTCGCACTATCTCTTCACGAGCTACTCACCCTCTAAACCTTTTTTCTACCTGGTGAGTGAGAAGGAGTCAGTCTACGCCGTTGCTAAAACCTCAGAGCACTTAAAGTTCCCCCTTAAGTGTTCACCTTACAAACTTGTGGAAGTTGTTTATACTTCCACCCTTTAACATTACACTTAAACACGTGGGAGTTGTTATAACTCAACACCCTCAAAACTCAAACATTATAAACAAAGAAACCTTAAACGTTTGCCTTTTACTTTGCGGGATTTGGTCTTACTCGCTTACTCTAACTTTATCCTTGTAAAAGAACTAGTGGGAGTTGACATTACTCTTCACCCTTAACCTCAAAACTAGACACTCCTTAACCTATGACCACCGTTTTTGTATCGTCGTCCGATGTCATAACTTACTAGGAAATGGCCCGCATTTTGATTCGCCTGGTTTTGTTTGATTCAAGTTTTACTCAACGGTCAATCCAATCGTTCGTTTATTAATGATCGAACGTGAACCCAAATACCGGGGGTGTAACAAGGTCCACACTTAACTGTATATATATGTTATCATAACTTCCTTGTTCTTTCATTGATTAGGTGATTGCAAGAAGCGAAAGCATGCATTAGCTAGTCAAGTTCCTATTGCTTATTGTGAAGCCTCGAGTAGGATGAGCTTAGTGGAAGGGACAGGACACCATCATAGCTGATGTATATCTGCATCTTATTGAGAAGAATAGATGCATGATTATCTAGAAAACACTACCTAAACATTCATTTACTTGCTTGCATTGCTTGGTTTCTCATTTACTTGCATTAATATAGTAGAACTCGACCAAGGACACCTCAAACCATCATGTTTACTTTCGTTTGCATTTTGATTCGACACAACTAGTTAGCTTTGAGTAGTTACAATCAAAATAACTCATAGAATACCACCCTAGTTTATCTAGGATTTTATTACTTGCATTGCACTATAGTGCAATCATCAAGTGATGGAAGAACTCTAACCCTTGATTTGCGTTGGAGTAGTGAGGAATCCGATAGACGAGTTCATTGCTATAATTGGGAAATTTCTCGAAGGTGGAAGTGGTAGACTGGTAGTGGGATTGGATTTGTTTGGGGGGGGGGGGGGGATCATATTTGAGTTTTTGAGGAAGGACTATTTTTGATTCCAGAATCCCAATTCCAGACACATAAAGCGATGGGAGAAATCAGTGGTGGAGATTAATAAGAAAATCCCAAATCCCCGTAGAACCAAGAAGAGAAGGCAAATAATGTGTCATTTTAGGTTCATTTGTCGCTGATGTGTGTGTTGATTTAGATCCTAAGTAGCGTATCGCTATAATAGCTGACGGTATGTGGCTATACAAAAGAAACGAAACAATTCTAAAGTGAAATTATTAGGAATATTTTAGATATAAGTGTCGTCCAAATCAAGGTTCGATCATGGTTAATGGTTGTTTATGCAAATTTTAACAGAAGAGCATGTTTGATCATTTTTACAAATTATAGATACATGTTTGATGTAAAAAATAATAAAAATAATAATAGAGTAGTATGTTTGTATGTTTTATAAAAATTTATATTGTTACCATCGAATAATTGTGACTAAAGCAAGGGCAGTTGCGACAAGTTTTTGGGTATGCCGGTGCCCCCCACTGGATTTTCCTCTTCTACTCAACACAACACAAACCAGCGGGGGCCAAGAAGACGAACATAATACAGTTCTAATCCCCCTCTGAGGAATATATACCGAAAAGCTTTGTCAGCACGAAGCCCAAAATCCGATCAGCGGAACACGGCGGAGGAGATGCAACTCCGCCGCCGTAGCGATGATGCAAGGACTTCACCACCATCAACAGCAACTCGCAGCTCTCCTCTCCGTCGCCCTTGCCAAAGACGACTCTGCTCCCGTCGTCACTCCCTCTCCTTCTACGGCCGGCTCCTCAGTTGCCTCTGCCGCCACCGCGCCGGCATCAGCAACTCCGATAACGACGAAAACTGCTAACTCCAATGCCGACGAGTCCGCTCGGCTCAGCGCAATTAACTCGCTCCACCGTGCCATCCTCTACCCTCCCAACTCGCTCCTTGTCGCTCACTCCGCTTCGTTTCTCTCCCAGGGATTCTCTCAGCTGCTCTCTGACAAGTTTGGCTTCTTCCTCTCTCCCTTCAGCTCGAATTTCACTGTCATTATGCTGTAATTTTGATTAATTTTCTCAATAATTTGCGTCGAAGCTAGAAGTTATGAGATAGGTCTACTGTGAAGCGTTGAAGTTACTGTTGCGAGGTATAGGTGTAGAAACTAATCCGAATTACCGCGAATGTCTGCCTCAGGTCGCAGTCTGTGAGGCGGTCTGCAGCTGTCACATATGGGGCACTCTGTTCGGTATTGTGTTCGATTCCTGTCGGAGCAAGCGGAAGGCCAAACCATCTTGTGCTTGGTGGTTTGGTTGACAGGTTTATTGCTTGGGCTTTGCCATTGCTGTCCAATGTTACTGCTGGTGATGCTGCAATGGAGCTGGCAGTTGAAAGCCTGCATGAGTTTCTTAGTGTTGGAGATGTTGTGGGTACAGAAAGATTCGCGTTACCTATCCTCAAAGCATGCCAAGAGCTTCTGGAAGACGAGAGAACCTCCTTAAGTTTATTGCGGCGGCTTCTAGGCATTATGACCTTGATTTCTTTGAAGTTTTACAGATTCTTCCAGCCTCATTTTGTTGATGTAGTTGACTTGCTTCTTGGATGGGTATTGGTACCAGATCTTGCAGAAGCAGATAGACGAGTGATTTTGGATAGCTTTTTGGAATTTCACAAGCACTGGGTCTCAAATTTACAGTTCTCTCTGGGATTGTTGTCGAAGTTTCTGGGTGACATGGAAGTCTTGCTTCAAGATGACAGTCATGGAACTCCCCCACAATTCCGGAGGTTGCTTGCATTGCTTTCTTGTTTTTCAACAGTACTGAAGTCCACTGCTTCTGGGTTGCTGGAAATGAATTTGCTCGAACAGATAAGCGAACCACTTAGCAAACTGCTCCCAC